GTAGAAAAGCAATGACAAGTGTTTCTGTGTAGAAAAGGAGTGTTGTTTTCATATAGTAAAGCTTTCTTTTTAAATTAAGAAAAAGCAAATTAAATAATAAAATAAAACTTTTTTTTTAAAATAAAACAAATAATAATTAATGCGGGAACTTTGGAAAGAGCATGAATTTGTACAAAATAAAAAAATGCTAAAAAGGAAATTTTGCGCATTAGTAATTATGTTTTATTTTAAATTAAAAAAAAGCTTTATTTTATTATTTAATTTTTTTTTGTTTTTTTTATTTAAAAAGCAAGCTTTACTATAAAAAACAACACTTTTCATTGAAGAATGGTGATTAGAACTTTAATAAAATCTAAACATATAATGAAAATGAATTTATACAATTGTTTTTTCTTAAGAATTTACAACAAAAACATTAAAAAAAACTATTTATTTATTATATTGTTTATTTACAAGAATAATTTTTTGTTTATAACAAAATTAATACAGTTAAAAATAATACTATGTAATATTTGTGATTTACTAATTCATAAAAACTAAATATTATTTATAAGCATTTACTAAATTATTAAAATAAGTGAAACAACTATAAATCCTTATTTACTATTTTACCAAGTTGGTGTCAATTGGCAAATAGCCGATGTTTTGCGAATCATTCCAATAAATAATCTAATAAATAGTGTTCATTATTTTGGTTGTCACTTCTCAAGAACAAAGAAAATGTATCTGTCTATATCTCTGAGATGAAGTATTATGATTACTTACATTATTTACATTATTCGTACTGTTATCCTCATTTTCATTGTCATATTCGCAACGTTTCGGCCGTTGTACGCTAGGATTTCTTCAGGTGACTGGAATTACGAACCGAACCCTTTATTTCGTCCACCGGGGTAGATTGTTCTGTTTCCACGTGCCATACCGCTTCAGAGTGTAATTAACTGGAGATAACTGATAACTCACACCCATTAAAACGTGGCACGTGGAACTAGAATAGTCTACCCCAGTGAGCGAAATAAAGTGTTTTTGACATTTCAACCGCCTGAAGATGACCGGAGCGTACAACGGCCGAAACTTTGTAATAAATATGGCGACAAAGATGAGGACAATAGTCGGAATAATGTAAATAGTGTACATAATACCTCATCTCAGAAATATAGACAGATATTGAAGAATGTGATAAATATGGCGACAAAGATGAGAACAATAGTCCGAATAATGTAAATAATGTACATAATACATCATCTCAGAAATATAGACAGATAATGAAAGTATTTATAGAAAAGGCACAGAGAAGTTACTGTACGGCTTTACTTGAGGACGGAAAATTTGAAATCGTTTATAATAAAAACATTAAGTTGAAAGAAATACTAGTCGAAATAGTCTCGCTGGATTATAGTCGACTATCTCAGTGAAAACTATAAGAACGTAGGAACGTTTTATACAGGGATACATCATATCCATATGAGAAAATCTTGATATTATGAATAGATGATTAATATTGTGAGAAAGTGGTAGGTAGTGGAAATCGTGCGTTGAGCCCAAATACTTCAGTGTATGGATCGAGTTACAACATATTTAGTATTAGAAATTGAACATTGAATGAGCTAGGGATAGTTTCGCACAACACCGCAGATTTCTACACAATCAAAACATTAACACCCTCAAGCTCCGGTTTTGTTCTTAAATAGTCTGCTCAGATCGAGACTTTCATGTGAATGCCATGCATGGTATCAAATCCATTCAGAAAATATTTAAACAGTATACAACCGCTTTCTCGGATCAATGATTAAGACTTGCTTCCGAAGAATAAATCTTACAGTTCTTAGCAAGGGCCATCCTTCTTTGAACTTATAAAGTACTGCTATAGAATCACAAACAAAGAACTGTACTAAATAACAGACAACACATCACTTGAAGACTTTCAAGAGCAGCAACAACTAAAATGGATAGCACATCTAACTTTAAGAGAAAATAATAACATAATCAAGATGCAGGCATTCCACACTAATTCAGATAAAAATGTTTAGAAAGGAAACACCTATAAATTTCGAGAAGAGCAATAATAATGTGCTTTGGAACTTGTTTTAAGAAAAATAATTTAGAAATTTCAGCCGACGTTAGCAAGTCTCGTCGGCCAGTGAATGCCGAAAGTTTTCTTATAAGGAAACCTCACATATTGCAATTACTATAACTGTCAGCTCTATACAACTGCTTTCTAAGATCAATGGTTTAAATGTATGAGCGAGTGAAGCCGGTGGGCCTAGGCGCAGGCCACCCTACTTTGAACATTGTGGACTGGCGCTACAGAATCACAAACAAATAACAGAAAATACATCACTTGAAGAATCTCAACAGCAGTAACAACTAAAATGGATAGCAGATGTACCACGAAGGGGAAATAGTGACATAAACCAAATGTTGATTCCCCCCCCCACACACACACACACGATTTCAAACAAAATATTAAACAATAAGGGAAAGAACGATAACAGCGACTGGACTGGAGAAAACTATTTTACTGAAAAATTGTTTTAAGAGAAATTTCTTTTGAATTTCAACAGACATCAAGTATTTCCTTGTAAGGAAACGGCAAATATTACCATTACTATTCGAAAAAGATTTCAATGACGAAACATTCTATTTTCTACTTTGATGCTGTTACAACATTTCGGTATATACTCTGCTTCAGATGTAGAACTCATAAAGAAAAAAAAATAGAGGTCTCCTTTATCAAAAAATCGTCAGGCGGAAACATCTGAAAGAATTGTGGCTGAAAGAACTGTGGCTGAAAGAACTGTATCTTTCTCTGCCTACATCGGCGTTCGAGCCCAGCTAAAATTTTAAAGTCAGATTTTCAAATTTGTTCATTTTGTCTCAGTACAACCTTTTTCCGAATTTTCTGTTTTGATTTTGGTTGTACTAAACTATCATTCGTGATAATTAATACAGGTGATAATGTTCATTTCCTCTTTTATTCGGGACAGGTGTTCACTGCGTTGTCGATATCGACTTTTGTAAGGACAATAACTGCGACCTAAAAGGAACTAAGAACTGCACTAACCTGCAATATGACTACTTATGTGATTGTTTGCAAGGTTTCTCAGGACGATATTGTGAGGTAATACTATTGCATTTGACGTTATATCTTTTCCTTTGCCAATATTTCAGTTTTTTTTAATGGCAAAAGCCAATGCAGCGTGTGTGGAGTAATCTACGGTTACCTCCCTTGTCAAGGAATGGTATCTGCATTTGCTATAAAAACAGACCATGAATGAGGAGTGAAGATATTAAATTCTATCGGTTAACGTGTTTGAACGTCAAAACAAACAGCTAAGTTTTCATTTCTTCTTCCCCGCTTTTGTAATTTAATACACTTAAATTATGCCACAACGATCAGTTCAGTTATGGATTTAGTAGAAAGAATTACTTGATTATAGGGACAACGGTTCTTCACTTATTGAAGCACTGGCAAAGGATCGGTCCTTTATAAAAAAAAAATGACAAGTATTAGTCGGTTATAAAAGAGCTGACAAGGGTGGGCCAGATATGAAAGCACTGACAAGGGTTGATCATTTACAGACGCTGTGACAATGGTCGATCATTTACAGACGCTCTGACAATGGTCAATCAGTTATAGATGTGACAATAATTCATCGTTTATGGAAGTAGTGATATAGATAAGTAAGTTTGGAATGTAATGAAACTTTGTTGTTCATTTTTTTTTAAATTAAGGTAATAGATTTTACAAGCCAGTGATAGTAACTGGACTTTAGACTAGTTAAGTAAAATACAGTTTCTTCGTAAGTTTGCAGTCAGGTATGTTATGTAATGAAAGGGTGGTCTTTGTATTTCAACATAAATTCTAGATATCATTTACCCCAAACAAAAGATCCATTTTACCTGGTGGTAAAAGTTAAGGTTCGATGATATCTAGCAGACAGAACGTAGTGACCATTGACTGAGAGAACGTACAGGGCGCGATGGATAAATTGTCGCATATATATATATATATATATATATATATATATATATATATATATATATATATACAGCGTGCCCAAATTATTATTGAGATAACTTTTTTCTAATATTTCAAAACCCGTCCAATTAATTCACACAAAATTTTCACAAAAGCTCTTGACTAGGGTTCTTCGTGGCCTCTCGTTTGGGCAACACTGACCTACGCAGGGTCTGAAATTTTCACTGTTTGATCATAAAATTTCTGAAATTTTCGTATTGATCTGCGCAATATAAACAAACTGTCGCCATATTGTCGTCCAAATTACAAAAAAAAAATGAAAATTACATTGACATCTCTTTTTAACAGATGTATTCACCAAAATTATCTGCACTGTCCTCAGATTGACACCCAAATACTCTGAAATTATTCGTACTACGCGCTTCCGCTGCCAATGCTAAGCAGTACCGTTTAATGTTTCCAAATTTCCGAAGAAAAAATCAAAAAGAAACAAGGCGCATGCGCGATATCAAAAATTTAAAGTTGCGACAATTTATCCGTAACACCATCCAAATATATATATATATATATATATATATATATATATATATATAACGAGTATGAAAGAGTCCTACTTATTTGTTTATTTCTCGTCTCATTGAAAAAGGGTAAGGTGTGTCCCAAAATTCCAACTTTAAAATGTTTCTTCTTCATGTTTCGGTTTAGTCACAAAGCCTACTAATATTACTTATTATAAAACGCAGGTTGCGTGTGTGTGTCTGTAACGTTTATATGTTGGATCGAATTTCCAACATTTTTTGGCCGATTTCAACAAAACTTCACAGGACTACATAAAATTACCTTGTGGTGGTTCTAACGGGACCGAAAATGGGAAAAATACAGTTGTTTTTTAATAAAATCAATTTGAAAACACGATTAAGACACATCGTGAGAATGAAAGGGGGAGAACTCACCCACGAAAATGTAAACAAAAGAGCATAGCATGATGAAAAAGACGCCGGACTTGACGAAAACAAAATTTTATCGTCTAATGTTCATATTATTATTAAAGAGGAAAGATCAAAAGTATTTGGGGGTATTTTTTTACATTTTTAATCGTTCCTGGCACGTCTGAAATTTTCGTTAAAAATATTGTTTTGTTTTTTTTTTGGTCAAAAAAAGGGCAGATAATCATTTTCAATCATTTTTTTCGATTTGATAAAAACGATTAAAATCTTACTTTGATATTCTTTTAAAAGTCAATTATCATTTTTTCAAAACTGATTTTAATAAAAACAGATATTATACTGTTTATTTAAAATATTTTGAACCAAGCTTAACTTAGCTTCTGCGCCGAAAAAATGTAATTTGAAAATAAAACAAAGCAGGTCATAACCTTTCGCGTCGCTTGACGATTGACGAAAGGCACATTCATGACGTTTAGATAAGTTACGGGAGGAGAATTCTTTCTACGGATGGAAGGAAGTGAAATTATTTAAGTGAACAAATTATTTACCTTGTTACTTTTAAGGAAAACTTTCAGCGTTCTAATTTTTATTTTTTTATTTTTTGTACTTAGCTTTCATTTTTACGTTTACGATGCTTTATGGAAAATATAAAGAAATTAAAAATAAGACTGTTAATAGTGAGATTAAATTTCATAAGAAAAAAGGTATCTAATTAATTTAGGTACCTTTCTTATGAAATTTTATCAGAAGTGTACATAAAATACTATAATTTTATGTACATTTATTACATTTTACTGTGTTATTTGTATTTCCATTCATTTTATTATTAATTTTGATATTTCATTTATGGAAAAATGTCATAACTGAGATTAATATAAAATAAGATCATATAAATTAAAGTTTAGCAGTAGTTAAATTTCATAAGATGATACTGTTACTTGTAGGTACCCTTCTCAGTTGAAATTGAAAACTCAAATTAACTTCTCCATACGTGTTTCGCAAAAGTAAAGGGCTTAACAGCGGAGAACAATGCTGAACTCAAATAATGCAACTAAATTGTATTCTGGTTGGTCTTCCGTACTTGATAATTACTGTCCGACTATAAACACAAAAATTACATTTCTTAATTACCATGGCTAATCTGATTGGTCCAAATGATACAATTTTCAAAGCGCTAGACAATGACAATCTCACACGGACATTTTGAAAGGTTGATGTTGCTTTTTAACTAATGTTAAAATATTTTTTAAAATTCAATTTAAACATTTTTTAAAAATCTTTTTAAAATTAAAGAAATAAGAAATAATTGTATTAAAAATTCAATTTTCATTGAAAAAATTTTTGCTTTCAGAAAATATTGTCCATATTCATAAAAACAAATTAAAACAAATAAAAACATTTGAAACTAAATAATATATTTGTTTTATTGAGTTTTGTATGTTACAATTCACAGCTGATTTTCAGGTACGTTAAAAAAAAAAAAAAAAAAAAAAAAAACATGATTTGCATTCTTCAAAGCCTTGTGCTTTTAACTATTGTAATCACTAAAACCGATGGTCTCGAATTTCTAGAGTTTTTCATAAAATTAGTTATGGGGGGTGTTAATAAATATAAAAAAATATTTCTGCCATGACTTTAATAAAAAAAAATATATTTATAATAATTTCGATCATCTGTGAATAGTTTCTGAAAGTTTCATTAACATCTGACAATTATTTTTATTTTTGCAAGATTTTCCAAATTAATGTGTGTAAATGCAAATAAAAAGCGCTAAAAATTATCTATGTTATTTACTACCCCTTGTTGCGACAAAGAGAAACAAGGTTTTTTAAATCAAAATTTAGAATATTCTAAAAAGATGGAAAAATTTAAAAAAAATAATTAAAAAAAAATTTAGTCTATCCTCTTCATAAAAAAATAAGCATTTTGACGATAACATTTTGTTTTCATAAACTTTGGCGTCTTTTTCATCAGACTATGCTCTATGTTTTAGCGATTCCGTGGAGTGACTTAGGTTAAAAAACCCAGGTTGTTTTGTGTGTGTGTGTGTGTGTGTGTGTTCCTTTATATATGGGATCGGATTTCTTACATTTTTCAGCCGATAAAACAAACATCCACTTTTTTTTTCGGCAGGTAGTATTTCTTATTGTTTTGCACACTTTTTTCTTTATTTACATTCAGAATGCTTTAAAAATTCCATTTACAAGACAATTGTTTATAATAAAATTCTATTCACCAATCGATAGACTCATAACGATTGTAAACAATGTTTTTGTTTGAATTTGGGTTTGACCAATTCATAAAAAAAAAAAAAACTAATTAAGACATGCGTGTCCGTCAACCTTAAACAATAATCTTTGTCAATTTTATTTTTCAGTCTTTATGATGGTCGATACTTGATCTATCTCTTACTGTTACATCCCCGGGCAACGCCGGGCTCTACTGCTAGTATCTAATAAATATGATCAGTCTTATTGACAATATTCTTACCATTCTTGTCTTTTATATTCCCCAAAATTCATTAATCAGCTTTTTAAATACACACACACACACACACACACACACACATATATATATATATATATATATATATATATATATATGTAAGCAAATATATGGATATAGATCCGATAGTATGAAGAAAATATACAGAAAAAACAAACAAAAATCTTAATATGCAATTATGCTGTATTAATGTTAATATAAAGTCAACGTATGAAGATATAAGAACCTATTGATCTCTGCGTATTCCTATATCAACGGAAGGGATTTCTTGAGTTGTTTATATAAAATAGTTAAGTCGACTTTTTTTAATATTTTAATATTTCAAAATCATCTTCGAATACGTTTTCACAACATCGCCCACGTGACGACGACGTGATCATATTTAAACGGAACGCTGATCTTATATACTTCAGTTATCTGTTTGGATTGGTTGTGCTCTTATGTCCATCGTCTAGTAACTTATTCATTGATTTACTAGCTTAAAAGTCGCCCTTTCGGGTGGCATTTAAACTAGCGAAGAGTAGATGCGATAGGCAACAATACACTACAGAAGACCTCAAAATTGATCGCTGCATTTAAGTATTGCATTAATATTTAAGCTTACCTTTTAAAAGTTCAGTGATAATTCCTCTGCCGCCACTTAATTTAAAGACAACTTGATGTACGTAGCTCCTTGCTTTTTGTAAAAACAATTATTTTTATTTCATGAGTGACTTTCACTGGATCTCGCAATTAATTTCGATTATTCCCAAATTTACTTCCAACTTATAAAAACTGTTATCGTACAAAAAGAAAAAAAAATTGTCGCAAAAAAATTCACGTAAAAAACGCCGAAAACAATCGCAGTAATGAAAAGTTGTGAATTCAAAATTTCTTTGACATGAACTATTTGAAAATTAGAGTTGTGTCCCTTTTAATTGAAAAAGTGTGACACACTGACATTCGCATTTATTATAGAGAAGATACGCTATTGAAAGTTATAGAGTTGTTCCTTTAATTATAAAATTGTGACTCACTGACATTCACATTTATATAGATTAATAATTTATAGTTGATAACTCGCTACTCTAAATTCAAATTAAATTAATAATTAATTATCTTTTATGTTTATGCTGTAATGATTTAGTTTGTATTAGGGTGCGATCAGTTTTATTATTAATATTGGTAAACCAATTGGCAAAAGAATCCTAGAAAGAATTACTAGGCAAATTAAAAACCACCTTGGATTAAGATTATGGATTAATACTAAAGATGTCATCAATTGGTTTACCAATATTAATACAGTTCGATATTGTGGATTACTACCAGTCAATATCGAAGTATCTGTTCACGAATGCCTTTTATGATGTAGTAAAAAAAACAAATTTTAGCTAATTATGACATTTTTTTATATACACAAAGCCCTTTCAGGAAAGAAAAGAAAAGAAATCTCCATAGACACTTAACCAGACTAGACGATGTCATCTTCTGCTTTAAATTTAGACACCCCAACCTTACCCTGACTTGACCTCTTTGAATGTAACTGAGATATTGATACAAATTATTAACCCTTACGCCCCTTTTTTTTTTAAATAATTTCTCTAGCCGTTACCATAGTAATTTTAATTTTAATAATCAATATGCTTATAAAACGCGTAAATTTCAGGAATTAGTTATACAAAAAAAAATTCGCATGAAGATGGAACAGAGCTTGGTACTTTAATTTAATTTAATTCAAATAATTATACTGAAGTTTTCGGCTCTTGTTTTGAAACATGAGAACTCTTATGTAGCGATTGAATTATATTTTAAATAAATAATTATATATATATATATACAATCTTCTCGAACTTACATGCCATGACACAACCTAGGTTATCGCCATGCTTGAAGTGAAATGATAAAAATGGCGAATATATCAATTGCAACAAAAGAAGCATTTGTTTGTTTTCCATCTAAAACTGCGGCTTAATGTATATTTCACAAGGCACGCATTCATTTATAGGTAACCCCATGCGATCCAGGATGTGATCACGGTACGTGTAGGATAGACAGTCAAGGATCGTGGGTATGTGAATGCCACCAAGGATGGAAGGGAACAAACTGTACAGAGTTAGATCCTGTGTGTGATAGAAACCCATGTCAAAATGACGGGAAATGCATTGGTAATCTCATTGATTTCAACTGCATGTAAGTATTTTGTCTTTGTTATTTTGCTTATCGTCATATACACGACGGTTAGCAAGACATTTTTATCTATAAAAAGAACGAATAAACATAAAAATGTCTTAAATAATTGTCGTACTTTGTCCATTTCCTAATGTATGACGTCATTTGTTTACATTTTGATACGCATTGAGCAGATATGAATGAATGAGAGAAAATCATGGAGAATTGTGTTTAAAAACAACAAAATCGACCTTGCTAACCGAACGTTCCTCTGTGGCCTAATCGGCTAAGGCACGTCAGGCTATCCGTATAGGATACAGGTTCGATTCCTATCGGAGGATGCACATTCTCTATAAAAATATCTCAAGCCGGTAAATGTTGTTAATACTGTTTATTATAAGCATATTAGATATTTGTATTTATAAAAAGAACGTATAAACATAAACAAATGTCTTAATTATTACATATATATGAAAAGATACAAACATAGATATATAGATAGGTAGAAAGATTGATAAAAAAGATATGAATAGAAATAGGCTTCGATTGATTGATAGATAAATTGATAAATCGATATGAAAATATATATGAAAATATGAAGAGATATAGGCATATATATATATATATATATATATATATATATATAGTTTGATAGATATAGGCATATATATTTTTAATAGCTTTAAGCATAAATAGATAGATATGGATAAATAGGCATAGATATGAAGTTAGATAGATAGATAGATAGATAGATAGATAGATAGATAGATAGATAGATAGATATGAAGAGATAATAATAATATATAATAATAATAGCTGGCCACTCGTATTCGAAGGTATCCGTCTACCAGAACGGCTAGCCAATCCCTATTGTAGACTCTCGCTCAGGCTCATTTTTGTTTGTTCAACATCCACAGAGACAACCTATGGTTTATACTGCAACTATACTGAGCAGTTACAGTTTATAAGAGAGAGCGTGTTATCTAGAATGACCAACAATCTGAACAACACCAGCACACTCAAACCCTCGGTCACGATGGCTTGTGACTTCGTGCTAGCACAACTATCGACACTCCTTCTACCTAATTTCGCTCACAAGGCATGTTTCAACCTATGGTATGTTTTTCAGGCACTTTCCAAATGTGCCACACGCTGGGATCGCACCCACTCCAGACCGAGAACATCTGTGATAGTATCTAACATAAAGAGATAAAGACATAGATATATACATAGGTAGATAGATTTGAAGCGATATAGGCATAGATAGATGGATAGATAGACATGAAAAGAATTAATGACATTTACATAGATATTTTTGAGATGGAGTGCTCTGAGGTAACTAACGATAGATCGGTAGATATGAAGTAATTTCTAAAAGAGATTTGGGGATAGATAAATAAATAGTCAGATATGAATAAATTTAGACATATATGCAAATAGATATAGAGATATAGTGTTATTTTCTGTGATCTAGCAAATCTCATTATATTTGTAATATACCTTTCCTTACTGTTATCATACATCCTGTACTATAGATGCTCAGCCCAATACCAAAATAAAACCTGTGACGTGGTTGTAGACGCTTGCGAAACAGTCAACCCTTGCGTTGGAGAGTCCAATGCGTGCCAGAACTTGTTTACACGCTCAGGTTGTGCCTGCTTGAATGGTAAGTGAAACTGAATTTTCAAAACAAAAATATCTAGCAGCATTTTTTATTCGAATTTTTTTTTCGCTCGGAATTTTACGAGATAATACGTTGCTCTATACGATATATTCTGACGCCAGAGCAGCAAGTACTGTACTACTACTGTACTGATGCGGCATTCACCCTGGGCGGATTGAGCCGGCTTCTTCCTGTTATGAGAAGAAGATTCTTGGGATAAATTACAGAAGTAGGGTACCCAGGCCTACTCGGATAACGTTCTTGCTTGCCGCGGGGTTCCCACAGACGCAGAAACAGGAACGACCAGAAGCCGCCGGTTACCGATGCAGACGCTCCTTGGATTTTCACCAGAGCCCTTGTTAGCCGGCGTGTGTGTCAGACCTGTCCGCCTTGGGTGGCCCTACCAGGAACGAAGTTCCGGGCGGCATAGCTCTGACACTAACGTTTACACCCACCACCGACTGTGAGGTAAGGGTTGGAATTTGGGGGCTTACAGTACCAGGTGTTCCCAAGCGGTCCCCCATCTAAGTACTGACCTGGCTCTACGATGCTTAACTTCGGTGATCGAACGAGAACCGGTGTTTTCAGCGTGATTTGACCGTAAGCAGAGCAGCAAGTAGAATATCCATAATCATCAGGTCGATAATTCTTCCCGGATTCCCTTAACTCGTTCCTTCCAACCTCTCCTGTCATACATCGTTGTCAGTAAATTCTTCAGATGGCATCCAGAGTCATCTACAAGTTGGTCAATTTAGGTATGATGAAGTCTTCTAACAGATCTTTTGTCGCGCAAATGGGTTCCATGGGTCCACAAGTTTTGATTACTTCTTCAGGAGTGACCAGCTAGCCGAAGCTTTCTCACTCTTAGCGAAACTGAGATAGGCTGAAGGTGTCCATACAGGCGTTTCTGTGCTGGGTGTTTCTTCCAGCTCATGTCCAATGCAACTCGTAACATCCTTGTGTATGTTCTGTCAAGTGATGCTTCTTGGTGTTTCGTCAGTGTCTATGTTATTAAGCCGTAGAGCAAGAGAGATTCAAGACAGAACTCCCTTTTAAGATTGTCAGATTGTGCGGACTTCCAGATGGTGCTCAGACCATCTAGGACACTCCAGGCCTTGCCTTTGCGAATTCTGGTGTCTCTCTGCATTGACTGAATGTTGCTGCTGAGGTAAACAAGTTGCTGGTTGGACTTGTTGTTTTTACCATTTTCCAACTTCATTTCTCCTTGGTTGTAGCTGATAAATTCTGTTTTGCCAGCATTAATGTAGTGACCAATCTCGCTGGCCGCTTCTTTTATGAGATGGAGAAGTTTGGTAGCCTTATCAATCATATCTGACAACAAGGCAAGTTCTTCTGCGTAATCTACGTCTGTTTTTGTTTTTGTCGAGTGACGTGAACTTCTTGCTTTTTCAAGGGTGAACCCCAGATCTGTGTTTAGATCAGCGGATGTTCGCAGGGCTTACTCTAGGTACAAAATGAAAAGGAAATGGGCAAGTGTATCCCAAGACAGAGTTTTTGTTTCTAAATAGATCCTAAATGATTCGCATTGTTTCTGGGTAAGTGTTGAGAAGTGACAAACAAAATTATACGGATTTAATTGTTTGAGAGAAATAGACAATGAAAAAAATGTACAAAACGTGAAAGAATATTTTACTCTCATGAGAATATTTTGTATGTAGTGTGTTTAAGGAGCGTGCGTAAATTTAAGGAGTTTTCTTGTGATGCTTCCTTCTTGACATATTTAGCGATGTCTATATGGTGTCAGTTTAGCACCCCGCTACCACCATTTTTTATCAATATCAATTTTCGTACAAAAAGTAAATCACAGAGCTTACTCAGCTTAATAAATATTTTCAGAAAATCTCAACTTCTAATTGATCACTTAATATTTAATAACATTGACCTAGTTCTTGACCTGACCAAAAAAATAATTCTGCCAAAATCTATCAAGCTTCTGTGAGCCTATCACGTGACTAAAGTTAGCAATAAAATATGAAACGTTTTTCATCTTCGACAGTGCGCCAATCGGAATCCTTTGAACTCATCACACAGTTCCAGGCCTTACGTTAAAGTTACTTAACATGATTCCACTCATTCACACAGCAATATTTTATGACGAACAATCAACTCAAGTTTTCCACATTTAACTTAATACACGAATCTTTTTCATACGCTTTCAAGCTCAACGCTAATTATTGCAATTAACATAAACACAGCTTGTTAAGAACCACTTACCCCAACTAGAATATTCTCTTCGAACAAGTGAAAACAAATCAAAGAGCGACAATTCCGTAAACCTTAAAATAAGACGTAAACAATATTTCTCTATTTCAAATACAAACTTGAAATTTTTTTTTCTTAAATTACAATAATATCAAAACACACTTTCTCATTATTGTACAGACCATTCAACAAATTATAATCTATCAAACCAGAACTTTGATAACCTTTCATCTAAACATAAAAGGACGTTTGAACTTTTTAAAACCACTTTTTTACTCCAGTTGTTTGTACCTCTTTGTTTATATAAATATTTTATTCATTGTTGTGCAAATCTGTTGTTTCTCATGTTGTCCTTATTCAATGTTTAATACTAAGATTTAATGTGAAAGGAAATTGTTAATTTCATCACGCAGCCTAATTTACTCAACAATATTTTTATAATTTAATTAATTAACACAACCTCCACATCAGTATGAAACCGCCTGTACTGTAAGTAATGTAATGGATTCCATTCGAATCTATTACATTCACTTACGTGCTAATATCCTTGGGAAAGGTATGAATTCTCTTCTTCTCCTCCACCCTGCGCCAGCTATGAGTAAATAGCAGGACAGACCGGGTTCTATAGCCTTGGATAGCAACTGGTCTACCACAGAAAGAAATGGCAAACTACTGCAGGAAAAATTTGCCTCGTCAGTCATGTATCGAAAGATACATGATCGCCTAAGTGTGTATCAAGCATGGCGCAGAACTGACTGATGAAACCACCTGCACTGGTTAGTGGGCAGGGCCTGTACGTGGCGGGTTCGTGTATCAATGTATGACTCACTTGAGTATAGGAATCATACACAGTGACCATATATGTTTATTATGTGAACTACAATAAAATATAAAAGAGTTAGATATTAATAATTGTATATAATAATTTTTATGCTGGAGTTCCCTGAAAAATGAGATCTATTTCAAGGGTTCCCTAGTGGTAAATATACTGAGAAACGCCACTTTAGAAATTCTAGAATGTGTTGAAGATTATTCATGACATTCATATGACTCAGGTTCACAGGTTCATAATTTGGTTTTCTAGTAACTTATGCTTTTGAACAAAATTACCTTTTTGCGCAACCTATCTTCTGTTTAGTTTTATTATTTCTGTGATTTTAATTATTTTCAGGTAAATCAGGATTTGATTGCAATGATAGACCAATTTGCACGCCGACGAAGTGTCTAAATGGTGGTACTTGTGAAATCAAAAATTATATTGCGAACTGCATCTGCCCCATTGGTGAGTTTCTCTCAACAGACGAATCTTTCACTTACACGCTTCTGTGTTTTTGAGTGCCACTTTCTTGGTATATTTGAAAATATCTCTTTTGTGTTGCGCGTTGCATCACGTAACTGCTTAGAAATGTACACGCAAATGAATAGCGAAACATGAATTCGAAAAACTAAGCAATGTATGAAGAGATAGGAAAATTTATTTGGAAACAAAGAAAAGCGTGCTGAATTATGTAATATCGATCTTCAGATACGGCATTTAATACTGGAAAATTTCCTCACAAATGAACAGAAGATTTGACGTAACAGAAATGGGGTTCTACAGAAGGATGATCAGGATACCGTAGACGGAACATATGAACAACAAGGAAATATTACGGAAAATGGAAATAAAAAGAATGCTTTTGCTTACTATCAAAAAGAGACAGTTGTAATTTCTACGACACAAAATGAGAAAAGGGGATTTAGAGAATTTGACAATCACAGGGTATATTAAATATTAGAACAAGGAGTCGGGTGGGCAGTACAGAAAAAAAAACATTGCTTAAAGCTAGAAAGTATAGGATGTTTTTGGATGTTCATAACCTCCTATGTTCTGAACTGATACGGAACCTAAAAGAAAATACAATATAACTATTGGTTATTTTCTCTTGTATTTTCAGGATTTGAAGGTAGAAGGTGTCATATAATCAGTGATCCTTGTTCCTATATTAAGAATTGCAATAAGACAGATTGTGAAAATCAAGGACAACAGGCTTTTTGTAAATGTGTCAATGGAAAAATTGGTCAACACTGCAATCAAGGTAAATGAAGATATTTGTGGAATGTGACATTTTTTTATTTAATCTAAGTAAAATGCAGGAATTAATTAAGAAAATTTTTAAAACCTTGTTATATGTACTAAGGTTAACTTATTTATTGTTGTTGCATATTATTAAATAGTAATATTATTAACATTTTCCAAGTTAATGTAATTCTAATTTTAGGAAATTGATTTACGATAAAACCATTGTAAAACTATTTTTGATACACCCTTTATATGAAAAGTTGATAAATATTTCATATTAAGAATTTGGACTGTTTTTTGTTTTGTTTTTGTTTTTTTTTTTTTTTTTTTTTTTTTTTTTTTTTTTTACTGTTGTAAGGTGAGAGACACACAGACAAAATTTTCGCGAATTTATAAAAGTTGATTAATCAAGCTATCGAAGATATATAACTATGTTACTTATGTTGTTATTTATATCCGCAGATGCTTTGTATGACGTCGACTTATTCTTCCCAAAAAGCAAAGGTTTTATACAGCGGACTCCAATTCCAATGTGGAGTCCATTGACTGGAAACTTTCTCTCACTGGCCTTTTGGATTAAATATTATCTGCCTCTCCAGGAAGACGTGTTAACTACAAGTCTTGTTCTTTACGGAACAAAGTAAGTATTTTTTAAAGGCAGTGATCAAATGGGAGGTGCAACTGTTAGTGGTTCAAATGAAGAATTCGGGGAGCCGATTTCGAATTTTACTCAAGATGGTTACAATAATTTTCTCGCATTTTACGAAGGGTATGAATCCCCATCTTCTTCTCCCCAGATATGCATTAAATACTAGGACAGACTGAACTCTCTTACCAGGGTTGGCTACCAGTATAGGAGATGGACAAATCTGAATATAAATATTCTGAAAGGTGGCATTTCAATGCTTCTTTCTCTGCAGTCCGTGTGTGGATTATGAATTTTAAATGTTACATAGGGCTCGGTTAAAAGCAAAAGTGTGCGGTTGAGGGAGGTGGTTAAAATCATTTTTGACGTATGTTGGTCTTTTATTTCCGGAAAGGAATAAACAATTTATAAATAGAAAAAATTGTATGTGCCGTTTATGGGGATTGTGCCATAGCTGAAAGTTCTGTTCATAAATGCTTGTTAAAGATAAGCCAGGTCACAAGGCACAGGACATCGCAACGATATTTCACACATCCCATATATTGGCATTGCACAGGATTTGAAACACTTGGACGCGTGAATCGCTACGATATTTGGGTGTCTCACGATTTGACATAAAAAAGTAATGTACCACGTTTCTATCTGCGACTCGCTGCTCAAGCACAATAAAAACAACCAAATCAGGGAAAAAAAACGATCACAAGCGGTGATAAATGAAATGCTCACAACACTGTGGAACGAAATGTGACCTGGGGAAAAGAAATGTGTCACCACTAATCGCACCAAGAGCTGCTTTGTATCCGAACAAAGTGTATCTGTTAGGATTGGAAGAGCATTGTATATTACAATCTCTTTCCATAAATTCAAAGTACTGTTTCCAATTGGTCCGATTATAGGTAACACTCGATGAAAAACGTCCGGAATTTGTTAAATAGGACCGGTGTCTTTTTTTCCTGCTGGACAACGCGAGGTCGTATGTCTCTTTGCAGGCAAATTGGGCCAACATAGGCTAGCCTGTCCCTTTATGACCGCCGTAATCAACTGACCTTGCCACTTATTTCAATCGCAGCAAAATTCTCTAAATCGGTCAATGTTGTTCTTGATGACGGTCGTTTTTGAGTATAAAATCCAGAGGTTAGCAGTGAATATTTCGAAGACAGTAGGGAAGCGTTGTTCAGGTTAGCAGTTGATATCCCGGTAAAAGTAGCTGAGCGTAGTTCGTCCTTCTGTTTCTCTTCGCCTGACAAGCTGGCATTGAACATTTGGAGAGAGGAAACAAAATGGCCGCCTTTATACACGACGGATTGAATATTTTACGTCTTCTGATTGGTTAACCTTCTATTGGTGGACTATAAAGTGAGTCAAATAATTTGGGTTGGCTCACTAGTAGTCTAATGTATCCAAAAATTGTAACAGTCTACATTTTCGTTTTATAAAAAATCTTATATTTCTTCTGAGAAAATTTGATATCAAATCGATTCTTTTTATGAATCTTACAATGCTAAATTGTTCATTTTCTTTTGTTTGTTTTTTGTTTTTTCAGTCATTCAAATGACATATCGCCGATCTCGGAACTTCTATCGCTCGACAACGATACTTTGACGATCCAGTTTTCTGAAATGAAATCATTTAACCTATCTGTTGTGGACGACGGTTGGTGGCATCATGTCTTCATCACCTGGTTCAACAATGTCATTTCCGTTTATCTCGATTTCAATCGTATCATAAACGAGCCGTATGGAAAAGATAAAACTCTACCAATGTAGTAAGTAATAAGTCGGTCTGATACAATTCAGCTATTTTTACTGAAGGAGTGAAGAGACCATCGTGACGCGGGTATAGAAATGTTCAAAGCCCAATAAGTCGACCCTAACACCCAGCCTGATAAGGGTGTACATAAGTTACAACCAAATGTGCGTGATATAATAACAGGTTTTGATAAAAATAGCGCATCACCTTGCAGGTGGGACCCACTTAGAAATACTATCATGTCATGTAACCCAGTCCGCTCAGCCTCATTAAATCAATTCAATACTGAACCCCGGGTGCATCTAGTAGTTTTCACTGGAGCCAAGCATCCCAATCTCTACTGGGATGTTTTTAACCTTTTTCAAATTTTAGGCCAGAGTAGTTGATGATCTTTCCTATTTGTTTTACTATTATATTGTACTCAGATACGATTTTCGTATATAAAGCAAGTTCATACGCATCCATAATTACAATTTCAAACCCTCTTTTCAGGTCAATGTATGTGATACTATAGTCAACGACACCCAAAAGAAATAGGCATTTTTATCTCGATTTCAAGCGTTTCCGTTTGATAGATCTACTAATGGTTCCTTTTGAAGTTTTCCAAAAGGAAATGGGAAGTAAAGATGCGGATGAGAAATATTTGAAGATCAAGTGACAAAAAAACGATAATGGGGTACATCCAAGTGCTGCTTTATATTATATTGCTGCTTGAAGAGATTCGGTTTGTTCTTGACGGGAGACAAGTCGCTCAGTTCCGAGTACGTCGCGATGGGGAGACGGGCGAGGTAGGTGATAGGTGGAAGAGTTGACAGCAAAAGTTGTCAAAGTATCACCTACACACCCACCGGACCAGCAGGCGAAGCCCTGAATAAATCTCTACATATAATATGGGAAACAGGTTCCATTTTCTTATTTCTCGGTGTGGCGTTTGTCTTTCATCGTGTTACCTTGTGAGCAGGCAGTGGGCCCTTGCCCAGTTTTCGGTGCATATCGACAAGATCGAAAATCGGAATGTAACATGAGATAATCATTGGACGGCCCTCCCCCAAGCTTTTCAGCGAAGTCGCCTTGTATGCTTTCACACGCATCAACAAAACGAAGGGAAAAAGATTTTTAAAATGATTATTTTATTATTAAATCAATGCTTTGTTGGACCTCAGGAGCATCTGGTAGTTTTCACTGGAGATCAGACAGTAGCAAATTTTCTCAATTATTATAAGGCTATTATCCCTCTACGCATTAGATAATGCTGTCACATCTCGTCTAACGCTTTTGCAATGCATCGAAGGAATCTTGGCAAAATCCACAAAAACAATTTTAGAACCCTTACGAACATTACCACACTCTGTTCCGCCATCCATTTACAAATTCTCCTTAGGCATGTTGCTTCCTGTTACCTTCTGCCCGCTCTTGACTTTAATATGTCCTATGAGTGTTAAACTTTCCAAGCCCTCTTTCCTAATAATATACCTTGTAAACGTTCTTACTTTTCGCATTTTACTTAAAACCTCTTCGTTCCCTATATATTCCGTCCGTGATATTTTCAGCATCTTTCTGTAGATGTAACTCTGCTGCCTCAAGTATCCTCTTCATCTTTCAGGAAATTGTCCCGCATTCACTGACATAGAGGAGGATTGATATTACGCAACAGTTTTAGAAATCTTCTTTGCCTCTAGGAAATTGTTCCCGTCTCTTAATAGCTTCCTTTGGAACAGGGGTCGGAAACCTTTTGCTGTGTGGCGACTTAGGGATTTAAAATCATTCAGTGTGCCAACAGCATACGTATTTTTATCTCAAGTCAAGGTCAATGTACCTGTTCTACAATATATTTTATTTAGTAATATAGTATACTTTAAAACTGAAACATCTAAATACCTTCTTTGCGTTGTAATAGTTATTGGTTCGGACTTCGTTATGTCATTTGCGGCTGCGTGCCATTGTGTGGCATGCGTACTGTAGCTAGCCGACCCTTGCTTTAGAACGTACCGTATGTCTCAAAAATTTCAAACTCTTTTTTTATAAATGTTCTTTTCGTTCGCATTCTTCTTAAAACTTCCTCGTGACTCGCATGTTTCGTTCATGATATTCTCAGTATTTTTCTGAAGAACTTCATTTTTGTTTCTACAATGTATTCAACTTTTTTATTCTTGAGACCATTGTCTCAAGTCTGTGATCTTTGCGATGATTGCCAGTTCTTCTATTATACCCACATGTTCCACAGTTTCTGCATCTCTCAAGTATGGTCCTAGTATTTATTCCATTCCTCGAAATATAGGTAATGATGTTTAACATTTCTAATTTGTAATCCTTTGCTTCTATCCCAGTGGCGTCCTAATCCCTGGTGGGATTATCAACATATCAAGACACGAAGTGAGGCCTTCCAAATTTGCCGGTCGAATCAACCGCCTCGTTCTCTTTAACAGCACTTGGAGTGCAGAAGAAGTGAAGAACATACGGAATAATATCAATCAGGTTTTACAGGACGTAATCCTCGATTTTTACCGCAGCGTCTTGGACATGGCTAACATCCTACTGGAATTCCCATCAGAAATCACCCAGAACATGTGTGAACTCACCCCTAACTGTTCAGAAAGTAATAGAGGTAAGCTCCTTGCATCGTCATCATCATCATCATCTATATAATAATTGTGCTTCTCTCTCGCTTCCTTTGTTAGTTCCTTAGTTCGCACGACCATTACGTCCTGCCACTACCTTATAAATAATGGACTATTCCAATTTGGATCGCTTGTAAAGAAGGAAAAAATACACTACTTTATTTCCCTGTCAGTTTGAATTGGCATACTCCAAAGGATAGTTACATCATTATTTTGGGTAACTGTACCTGGTGGGTGCTCATATCATCTCTCAGTGGTTGCGATTTTGTGCTTCTTGCATATATTCCAGTGCACATATGTCGCTAAACTGTTATGTCTGTGGGTATATTGATTTTTCCGGACATACTGAGATAACATTGTCGGCAGTTTTATCATATTTTCTGCTGATCATTCATTTTTAGTTAATTCCACCCCTCATTATGTAACAGGGATAGGATCTGGTTGAAAGTCTTTGGTTCTTAGCTGCAATAATTAGGCCTCCTTCTCAGCTTTCAACCCGGTGCTCCTCAGCCACTGATGTGTTTTCTGTTGGTCCACATCTGCTTCTTTCGTACTTTTTAGATATTTGCCATGCAACGCCTTGTCCTCCCATTTTCTTTTGTAATTTCATTTGGGCAAGTTATTTTGCTTTCTGCTTTACTCGTTTGGCGTAGATTGTATTCGCTTTGTCTTTTTGTTAGTAGGGTTTCAGATATATTAAGCTGTTTCTTGAAGAGTGAAGTTTCTTTGTTGATGGGGTGATTTGGTGTTTTACTATTTCTAGGGGAGGGTCATTGTTTTTTTTTTTTTAGGTAGGCTTCCAATCCGATTATTGTAGTTTTTTAAAGTTAGTTCAAGTTAGATTAGACCTCGGCCTCCTAAAGCTCTTGATACAGCCATCAACATCCCATTCCTGGTGGTGCATCCTCATTTGGGTAATCGTTTTTCTGGTTTTGGCGTCCAAACTTTTAATGTCATTCAACGTCCATTTAATAATGTTGAAGCTTTATGTTACTACGGGAAGAGCTAAAGTATTGTTAGCCTTCATTTTACTGGCCTCATTAAGTTCGCTTTTTAGTATCTGACGTACTCTCCTATAATTTTTTGGATTTTCTTCTTCATATGTTCTATCCCGTCTCCTTCATTAATTCCTAAGTATTTGTATGTATTATCTTGGTCTAGTTCCTTATTATTATTATTGTTTTTATTTGCTTTGATTTCTGGCGTGTACACATTTCTTTTCGGGTCCCGCCCAGAGACTTAAGGTTAGAAATGGCATCATGACACTTTCCACTGACAAAAAAAAATAAATATTTTACATGGATAAATCCCTTCTAAAAGTGTGGGCTGTATTTGGGAAAACAATTTTTTTTTGTATTTCTTTGAGCAGGTCCTCTCTCCGTAATCGGGTCTGGTGTTGTTGTTGTTATTATTATTATTATTATTATTATTATTCAAACTGAGATTCTCCATGATACTGAGATGTTTCGACAGGGTGATAATGATATATATTTTCAGCCCCTACCAGCAGCTGAGCGTTACAACACATTCCACAGTACATGAATTGTTTTTTTATTTATTTATTTATTTGTTGTTGTTTTTTTTTCTATCCTACTGTTAACACAATATAAAGGCCCAAGAGACACTCAAGGTGGAATGTTAATGTGTGGTGCTATATGACATTAAGACAGAACAAGAGGTTCGTGGACCTATGTAGTAGCAGATCTTGCTTTTCGGCTTAGCGCCAAGCTTGATTATGTGTCTGTGAAAGGATCTGGTAGCGAGATTTTGATCCTGAGCTGCAATAATTAGGCCATTTTCAACCCGATGCTCCTCAACAACTGATGTGTTTTTTATTGATCCACATCTGCTTCTTTCGTTCTTTTTAGTTTTTTTGCCATGAAACATATTTGTAATATCATTTGTTTTGCTTTCTGTATTACTTTTTTGGCGTAAATAACATTCGCTTCGTTTTTTTGTTGGTAGAGTTTCACATATATTAAGCTGTTTCTTGAAGAGTGCAGCTTCTTTGTTGATTGAGTGGATTTGGTGTTATATTATTTGTAGGAGAGGGTCATTGGTTGAGGTATGCTTCCAATCCGATTGATGTAGTTTTTAGTGTTGGATTAGAACTCGACCTCCTAAAGCTCTTCGTACGTACAATCTATCCACATCTGATTTCCGGTGGTGCATCCTCATTTGGGTAAGCATTTTTTTGGTCTTGACGTCCAAACTTTTAATGTCATTCAACTCCATTTAATAATGCTGAAGCTTTATGTTACCACAAGATAGCCTTCATTTTATTGGCCCTATTAAGTTCGCTTTCTAGTATCTGAGATAATCTCCTATAATTTTTCTAATCTTTTTCTTCATATTTGAATGTTCTATCTCATCTCCTTCGTTAATTCCTAAGTATTTATATGTATTATCTTGGTCTGGTTCCTAAATCTTGTTGTTAATCTCAAGGTCTAAATCTGTAGTTTTCGTTAGTTTACCACCTTTGAAGGTGGCTTTGGCACATTTTTTTGTTCCCTAACTTCATCCTAATGTCTTCGCTGAAGGTTTTGACAATGGTGTGTAGGTTTTTCTTCTGATTATCATCTTTGACAAACGTTTTAAGATCATCAATATAGAAAAGGTTCCGTTTGCCATTCTGTGACTTCAGCTACTCTTATTTAGTAGGCAGCTTAATGGCGCTAATGCAAGACAGAAGAGCAGTGGTGACAATGAATCTACTTGGAAGATCCCGCTTTTCAGGTTGATTGGTCTCGATATTAGTGACACGTTTGTATGGTTTAGATTTAGTGTAGTCTTTCAATTTTTCGTGCTCTCCATTATAAATTTGACAGCTGTGGAGCATACTCTGTATATTTTTAGGCCCTTTTCTGTCCACAAATTTGGTACACTGTCGAACGCCTTTCTGAAGTCGATCCCTACTATCGATAAGTGTATTTTTCTTGTTTTCACCTTTTCTAAAATTGTTTTATTGATAATTAGTCGACCCTTGCACTCGTAACTTCCTCTCTTACATCCCTTCTGTTCAGCTGGGAGGAAATTGTTTTTCTCAAGAAAATTGTATGCCCTCTCGGGTTTTGATAGAAGTGAGGATCTTGTACATTATTGGTAGGCATGTAATGGGTCTATAGTTCTTCAGGTTCTGCATCTCTTCTGCTTTTAGGAGTGGGAATGTTACTCCCTCCTTGAGACATTTCGGGCATTTTTCTTGGTTTATGATTATATCATTGTATGCCCTTGCGAGGCTTTGGTGCGTGCTAGATAAGTTTTTTCTTTTTTTTTTTTTTTGTTTTGTTTTTTTTTTTTATCAAAAAATTGGCTATTCGGTTTATTCCCGATACTTTTATTTTTTGGTTTTCAGAAGGCTGCGAATGTTTCAGTAATATTGATATCCGTCCATTTTTTGCACTCTCTATGTATGTGTTCCTGTTGTAACTTGATCGATGTAGCTCTTTTATCGTGCATTTTGTAATTTTCCCCCACCTTACACCAGGACTCCTCGACTTCCTGGATATTAGGTGGGTCATTTATTTTATTTTTTCACAGTTCTCGATATAGTTTCTTGGTATCTTCAAAGAAACTATATCGTTTTGCCAAAAGAGGCGACTACATCTTTTTGGTATCACCACTTCAGACTTTCACTGTAACTTATATTGGACTCGACTCATCCTCATTCCCTTCATATTTCATTGGTGACGAGGAAGTTCCGGGCAGTTAAGACTCCGGGAGTATGTGTCTCTGTCCACTACAATCTTAACGTCTTCAAGATTGTCAACCAGTTGACTAAATAAGCCCCTCCGTGCAACGTGTTTCATCCCCGTCACAAGTGAAGAACAGTTTCAATGTGGAATGGACTCCCGATAAGATGCTTTCCCAAACACAACAATCTTAACCTCTTTAATTAACATTATCAGCCTTTATATATCCTACGTGTCCTCATAATCTGCACTTCTTGCTCTATCTTCTTTCGTTCATGTTATACACCTCGTTCTACTTTGAATGCCTCCTGGGATTTGTATTAGGTGAGCATAATTTGAATTGTTTTCTTGCAGGTCAATTCCCAGTGGTAGAATTTTGTCCCCATGCACAATTGAAAGTAGGACCAAGGTGGTCAATTATCGATTTTATACAGCCAAAATTCAACCACAATTACACAACAGTTTCCAATTATATCCATGGAGGTAAGTAATTACAAATATATTTTCTGGGTTTTAAACACTTTTAAATAAAAAGTATGAGTGAATTTTCTTTCAGTCTACAGTAACGGATAAGATAGATAGATAGATAGATAGATAGATAGATAGATAGATCATAATTAAAATACGTAGGTAGATAGACCATTATTAAAATAGGTAGGTAAATAGATCATAATTAGAATATATAGTTAAATAGATCACAATTAAGATAGATAGATAGATAGATAGATAGATAGATAGATAGATAGATAGATAGATAGATAGATAGATAGAACCAAATTAATATAGATCATAATTAAGATTGATAAATAAATCCTAATTAAGATTGACAGATAGATCCTAATTAAGATTGATATATAGATCATAATTATGATAGATATATAGATAGATCACAATTAATATACATAGGTAGATTTAATTAAAATAGGTAGGTAGATCATAATTAGAATAGATAGATGATAATTAAAATAGGCAGATAGATCATAATTAAAATAAGTAGGTAGGTAGATTATAATTAAAATAGATCATAATTAAAATAAGTAAGTAGATAGATCATAATTAGAATAGATAGGTAGATCATAGTTAAAATAGGTCAGTAGAGGGATTATAATTAAAATAAATCATAATTAATATGCATACATGATAATTAAAATAGTCAAGTAGATAGATCATAATTAGAATAGATAGGTAGATTATAATTAAAATAAATCATAAATGAAATACATAGATCATAATTAAAATATTATCATATTAAAAACAAAAATTTTGAGCAGACTTACATAATAATCTGTGATTCACCTTGTACCAGACTAAACTAAATCACTTGGAAATATGTGTTGGTTGTGATGGTTAACAATGTCGTGTGTCAGATTATTATTATTAAGTGTTATGAGTACATCCCTGATTGATTTATCTCCTTGTACCAGACTAAATTATACTAATATTATATTTGTCTTCATAGAGGTTATTTGAAATAAACAAGGCAATGATATCAATTATTTTTCCAGTGTCCTATTTTGATTGGGGTTTGTACAGTATTGAATACATTGCATTTGGCAAGAACAACGAAACGTCAGCTGTCTGTACATTCCAGCTGGTCAGTCGGCGTAAGTATGACATTTGTGTTGATTTGTTTTGTTTGTTTTGTTTTACGGTATATCAACCTGAATAGGCTATTTAATGCCGACAAGATCTTTTATTGCTGGAAATATATTTTCTTTTCCAAAAATGTATTGCTGGAAATATTTTTGCCCCAAAAGTATTGCTGGCATTAAAACATATTTTTATACTTTTATAGTGTTTTGACCTATTGGGGGTTAACTATTTGCCCATAGCTGGGACCCTGACAGATGCTAACACTCTGGGCCAGGGTCGACCTGCAAACACCAGCAACTAAGAGGTGGTTCCACGGTCCTCAAAACCTCCTGATCGGAGGCCTTGCTGTTGGACATAGTTTATATCTCTTACCCATGAGGCCGGATGTAGTTTATCGTCATACCCATGAGGCCGGATGTAGTTTATCGTCATGCACAGGCAGGCATTTGTGTTGACTTTTGCCTTTTCCCATTTTGTTTTTGCGCGTGTATTTTCGCTTTCTTTTTCATTTGTTGCTGGATACTTGTGTGTTTGGCTAAAAATAAGTTACCATTATGTTCCCGGTATCACGAGTTCGAATTCCAGTCAAATACATTAAATTCACTTAGTGTTAATACCCTTGGGAAAGGTATGAATCCTCTTCTCTCCCCCGCCCCACCTATGGGTAAATAGCAGGACAGACCGGTATCTATAGTCTCGGATGGCAACTGGTCTACCAAAGAAAGAAATGGCATCCTACTGCGGGAAAAAAAATCTGCCTTGTCAGTCATGTATTGAAAAATACATGATCACCTTAGCGTATATCACGCATGGCACATAACTGACTGAGAAAAATGACTAATTCCCAGCTATCGGTTGAACAGTGGTAGAGAAAAATGACTATTGGTTGAACAGTAACTATTTTTATATCTATCGTAAAACATTACATACCATTTATTTTCGATTTTTGACTCAGGAGCTCAGACAGAAGGATTAAAATTGTTCAGGAACGCAGGGCTCAAATGGTTGGAAGACGTTAAAATTAGCTATGAGAAGAATGTGCCTGTTTTTGTGTGTGTGTGTGTGTGTATGTGTGTGAAACAAGCGTGTGTGATAGACGCGTGTTTATATATGTTTGTGTGAGAGAGTTCAAATGTCAACAGAGGAACAAGAGGAAGTGAAGGCGCCTAATTGGAAGTGTTCCTTATCGGCGTCAAGTACAACTGGAAGCAAAAGTTAAAAAGAGAAAGCGATAGAATATGTGCCTATTTTCTGAGATGAACTATTGCAATTATTTATACTACATCATTCGGACTGTTGGCCTCGTCTTCATTCACATATTCACAGAGGCAATATAATTGACTCTTTATAGTCTTAAAGAGCTCCCTCTAGCAAGCGTATCGACAAAACCAAGTGGGATAAGCCAAAAACTTTTCATGTTGCCCCCGTCTCTCTCTCTCTCTCTCTCTCTCTCTCTCTCTCTCTCTCTCTCTCTCATTTTTTCGGGTATAACTAGTTTTGATAGACTTGTCCGTACGCTATCCGGGGCCTATTTTGAGCCTATATAAGTGCATGTTCGTCACAGTGGATCGCTTTCAGATACTAACTCAATGACTGGTACTTTGCGAATATTAACATCACTCTCGAAAAAACTATTAAAAAAATTATCAAATATGGAATAAATATAAAAAATAAATCATTGTTCTTTTTTTATTAGGTTTTAGCTGTAATGAGACGATCAATAGTATTTATTTGAACAAAACCGACAGGAATTGCCAGCAACACAACGAATCGATTATTTGCTCTCCAAACTGTGACGACCCAAATAAAATTCAAGTTATTCCCAGTCCCCTGGTATATTCCTGTGGTGTCACTCAAATGTGGGGGAAGGAATATACATCACACTTTAGATTTCTGCCTTGTGAAACAGGTAAGTATTTTTTCTTTCTTTCTTTTTTTACATTAACTTAACTACACTATTAATCTAAATATGCGGAGAATTACTAATATTTTATTCAGACACCGGCAAGAGTGCCCATATGTTCTCTTCATTAACGATATTCCTGATGTCACAGGTTCCCAAGTAGTCATCTCTACATTAACGATCATCCCGATCTTCCTGAAGTGACAGTTTCCCAAGTAAGCATCTCTTCATTAACGATCTTCCCGATTTTCCTGATATCTCTTTTCGACTGTTCTGTCTCACATTGTCCGCTGTCCTGAGATGGAACGAATACATTTAGTCAATAGCTTCGTCTACCGCTAGAAAAGTTGTCTCCCTTTGCCGCACCAGGGAATTTTTCTCGCCGGAATCTATCCTTCAAATCTACAAATCAACCATTCGCCCTTGCATGGAGTATTGCTGCCATATATTGTCTGGAGCTCCTTCTATTTGTCCCAAGGTCCTTGATAAAATCCAAAGACGGATATGCAATGTAATTGGCCCTGATCTGGCATCTCGTCTGCAGCCGCTCTCTCACAGACGTGCCGTCGCCTCCTTCTGTCTTTTTTACAAATACTTTCACGGTAACTGCTCCGATGAGCTGCTTTCGCTGGTTCGCAAACTTCATGAATTTAAGCGTTCATCTAGGCTGGCATCTGGCTCTCACCATTTCACTGTCGAAACTGTTAACTGTAGCCGTCCCTTCTACTCCAATAGCTTCATGCCTCGCACTTCTCCCCTGTGGAGCTTTCTCCCCATTTCTTGTTTTCCTGATAGCCATAATCTCCAACTATTCAAATGTAACGCTAATCGACGTCTTCAGGTGCTTTGATCTATCCCCTAACCATCTCTTCATCCTTTCCTCTATCACTCCTCTTTGCTCACGCTCCAACTGTTGCGTGCTAGTGGCTTCCCGCCTTGCTTGGGGTTGAATGCATTAAAAACTTGTTCAGACACACCGGGTTGTATTTTACTCAAGTCGTGTTATACACTAGAAAATACCGTAATTTTTATATTTCTCCATCAATTATGATTTAATTAGATTTTACTTGAAGTGTCTATTCGCAAAAATGAATAAATAAAATAAAAACAGAGAAGAGAGTACTGAATTGTTACGTGATATCTGTACGCCTCCATGACAACCACCTCAAAGATAAAGAGACATAAATCAACTAAAATGTGGATCTACAGAAAGTTGTTGAGGGTACCATGGACTGAACATGTGAGCAACGACAAGGTTTTGGAGAGAATGGAAACAAAAAAGAAACATACTTAACACCAGGAAGACGCAGTCGAAATTTCTTGGGCTCTTAATGAGGAAGAGAGGGTTGGAAAATCTGATACTCACAAGGACAAATTGAGGGAAAGATTGACAGAGGAAAGCAGTGTGTAACATACTTAATGGATTTGAGTAAATGAATGGTAGAACAGAATTTGGGAGATATAAAAAAGAAACTTAAAGATACAAGGGATAGAAAGATGTGGAACGTCATAAACATTAGGAAACTAAAACAAGAAGAAGCGTATAAATAGTTAGGAGTCAGCGAAGGTGATGGAATACAGCATACACAAATGAAGGGTAAAATGAAAAAATAATACGACAGGCAATTGCTTCTGGTTTTAAATACCAAGTTGAATTCACAAAACACCTTGATCTTATCAGTCATAAACACCTTGGCTGTCCCTGTGGTGAAATATAGTTTCAACATCCTTAATTGGACCATAACTGACATTAAGTGAATGAATGTCAAAACTAGAAATCTTCTGACATAGCACCCAATGCATCATCCTAACGCTAATGTTGATCATAATATGTGTCCAGATCCGAAGAAGACAGAGGATTAGTTCAACTAGGACTATCTTACAAAACCACAACAATCGGTCTTCAAGGATACATGGAAACTACAGAAGACTGGATGATGATCTTTGTCAAAGACCATTGATCATCTTGTATCAAGTTGCACAGTGTTGGCACCAACTGAATATAAAACTTGGGATGATAGAGTTGGCCAATATTTCTACTGGAAAATCTACAACGTTTATGAGGAAGAGACTGATATGAACATCAACCAGGCCCGCTTACAGAGATAGAACCAGTGACAAATTTGGGGGACAATACACACAGACAGAACAACCAAAGCTAACTGCATAAGCACCGTAATCAAAGACAGCAAAAATAGAATGTAATTGACATGGCAGTTCCTGCAGATTGTAATGTATCTTTGAAGACCTTCAAAAATCTATCAAAATACAAGGCTCTTGAAGTGGAAATCTCAAAAATGTGGCACATGAGGACATCAACAATTCTACTTGTAGTTGTAGCGCTCGGATTCATTAAAAAAATGTTCATTGAATGAATTTAAAGAAATGCAAAATAATTTACTAACAAGTACAGCTGAGTCATTACAAAGGAGCTTTATATAAAATCCACTTTCAACTGGCATTTCAACCTTGGAGAAAGCCAGAAGTGTATGAGGGCCACATCTCGGATGTACGTGTGCTGACACACCTGGGTGATGCTGTTTTAGCAAACTTTCCTTCAAAAAAGGTCACCGTGAAGACAGTAGGCTTACTGAGTGCAGGCTCACTGCCGACGGATTAAACTGTGTGCTTGTTAACAAAGCACAAATATGCCTGAGCGGATTAGCTAGTAACCCTAGTAGATTCCATAGCCATCTGAAACTGACAGATGCCTACTTTTATAAGCTTATATGCTTCCCATTGTAGTGTCAAAGATCCCTTCTTTCTTTATCTATGTGTCTTCATTGCAGAATAGTAGTGATTTATGGAAGTGTTTAACGACATCGATTTCGTTTATGTTTATTTTTATTTGTTCATGGGCTAACGTGATGGCCTTATCTAGCATGGCTTCTGCTATGGATGTTCTTTATCCATGCGTCTTCATTGTGGAATAGTAGTGATTTACGGGAGACCTGCGAAATCATAGGTATGTATTTACTATATGAACTAAGCAAAATGATAGATAGAAATGACACAGGACTCTACAGGGACGACGGTCTCATAATCTTAAGAAACTGTAACAAACAAAACACAGACAAAACTAGAAAAGCAATAATAAGGATTTTTAAAAATTATGGATTTAACATCGATATAAAAACTAACCTAAACGAAGTAGATTTTCGAGATGTTACTTTCAGCTTAAGAAAAAGCACATATAAACCATATAGAAATCCCAATGATAAACCACTGTACATCCGCCAATCACCCGTCTTCGATAATCAAAGAGATACCAAAATCGATTAACCACAGGCTTTCTGACAATTCTTACAATAAAACCATATTTGACGAAGCTAAGAAAGACTACGAAACAGCCTAAATAGTGGATTCCCAGCAACACTCACATACTTACCATAGAGCAAAGAAAGGCCAACAGGAAGAGAACTATCATATGGTTCAAGCCATCGTACAGCAAAAACATAAAAACAAAAACGTAGGTAAAATATTCTTAAAACTCCTAAACAAACACTTCCTAGAATCAAGCACTCTACGCAAAATATTCAATAAAACACTGTAAAAATCAGCTACAGTTGCACCGAGAACATGGTACAAATAATAAAAAAGCACAACAGGAAAACTATCAAAAAACCACCCGAACAAATTAAACCCACGTGTAACTGTAGTATAAAGAATAGATGTCCTTTACAAAACAACGTAATATACCAAGCCACCGTAAAATCACCATATAATCAAGAAAAAGTATACATGGGAGTAACTGAAGGACCCTGGAAACAAAGAAACTATACACACAAAACATCTTTCACAAATTGTAAATACGTGAACAGTTCAATGCTTTCCAAGTACATCTGGGAAATTAAAAACAAAATACAAATCACACCAATAATATTATGGAAAATTATGAAAAGACCATCGGCCTACAACAATCAATCAAAAACCTTCAAACTTTGCTTGGAGGAAAAAACAGCTATTATTACCTTCCCAGACCAAAATAAATTACTAAATAAACAATCTGAGCTAAATTTTTACTACGTTACTTAAAAATCGAAAACCGAAATAAATAAATGCAAATAAAGAAATAATATAAAAAAACAAGTAAAATAAATTAACCCAAACAAATAATAAACAAATTATCAAACCGCTCCCTTTAGAATAGACGAAAAAGAATAAATAAAAATAAAAATAAAATACATAAAAAACATTTAAAAACAATCAGCCCAAATAAGTAAAATAAAGTAAATAATAATAAACAAATTAACAAACCAATCCCACTAAAATAACCGTCAGAATAGACTACAACAACTAATCCATAAATTGGACATAAAAATAGCTATAACTGCTATATATCGATAAAAAAACATCACTATGTTACTCAAAAATCGAAAACCAAATAGAACAAATAAAAATATACAAAATGAAAAATAAATAAATAAATAAATAAAAAACTTAATTTAATTAATCCAAATAAATAAATAAATGAACAAATTAACAAATCGCCCCCGTTAAAATAACCGTTATAAATAATAAAAATAAGCATAAATATGCAAAAACAATTAAACATAATCAATCCAAATAAATAAAGTAGAAACTGTCCAAAATAACCGAATATTCTACGTCAAGCAATCTAAACATTAGACGAATAAATAGCTTTATTTATCTTCCCAGACCAAAACAAACTATTAAATAAGCGACCTAACAAATCCCCTACAAGTTTTTTAGTACGTTAATAAAACATCAAAGAACGAAAAGAATAAATAATACAAAATGAAAATGAAAAACAAGTAAAATAAATTAATCCCAACAAATAAATAAATAAACAAACAATCCATTCCCGCAAAAACAGCCGCCAGGATAGATTACCCATAATGCACCACTGACCTATATATATATATAAATAGCCGAGGAAAAATTCAGCATTCGCGGCCTGGCGATTGCGTCCAGCATGAAACAAACCTGTCGCCTCTGAGTGTTGACTTCAATGTTCACTTTTTTATTTATATTTACATAAACTCTATCTCTGATGTTGAGCACTTTATCCCATAAATATAGCATACCTTAAATCTATATTTCTTCATATATATATATATATATATATATATATATATATATTATTTATTTTTTAAAAATTTATAACAGAAATATGTTATAAAATCACTACAAAAATAGCCATTTTGTTTCAACACCCTCGGTGTCTTATCAAGTGATGATGAAGAATGTAAAATAAATGGTTTTAAAAGTTTCAAATTAATTAACAATCCTTCACAAGGGGAAAACGTTGTTACAAAAGCTAGATGGACCAATCAAAATACAAGTATAGGAAAATTCAAAAAGCTTGACAACGAAGTCATGTTATAATAGCTATTCAGATGTTTAAAATATGGGTAGTATTAAAAAAAGAAATTATTCTAACCAATAGTTACTAAATTATATGATAAAATTTAATATTAAAATTAAAAACTGCTAATTTCAAAATCAAAATTTAATCGCTATTAAGTTTACAACTATAAAATTACCGAGGAGAAAAGAAGAAACATATATGTTATTCAATTTATTTCTTCATTGAAGTTACTTTAGCTAATTTTATATCCGGTCTTTTGACAATGTATACATTTTAATCCTAAGAGTGTGTGAATGGGGTCCTAAACTCACGCGTAAAACAAACGCAATCAGATTATATAATATATAAGCCCCCAGACATATTTATATATATATATACACACACAAAAAGAGACGAGACAGAGAACATCACCACGATCGTTTAAAAAAAATTAAAAAAAGGCGCGGATAATTCGACTAGTATATATATATATATATATATATATATATATATATAGGTTCTTTGTCCTAAATTATATGATCTAGAAGTAGGCCATCTTACTAGAATATATATCTCTGAATATTTTCTTTTATAAATCATTTCACACTAAGCAATGTAATAAAGCTACTAACATGCAAGGGGTTACTGATTGTGAAAGAATACAAGAAACAAAATATTAAAGAGAGAGAGAGAGAGCAATAAAAGAACAATAAACAGAAGATAATGATTTTTAATTATCAAACTTGACTTGAAAGCAAGAATGCCGGGAGAAGAATCTGTTAACACAGAACTTATGGTTACATCTAGTCGTTTCAACTGTAAAATAGTACTGCAGTAAAATAGTACTGCAGTTAAATTCTTAATTTGTAGGTAACATGAGAAAAGTTCATCAGAACAGTTACTATGAAAATATTTTTAGAAAATGTAGATTCGACGGCAATAATCTCTGCATGAAGGAATGATAGACTTATAAATATGTAAGATAGATTCTGGCGAAAAAAAGGTCTAGCACGCCTCAGAGAACGAACTTTCGTAGCAGCAGACGAAGCAGTTGATTCAATATAATCTTTTCACTTTATGTTAGCGGAAAACGTTACCCCGAGAGGGTCCAATGAGTCACTCTCCTGGCAGTTAGCATCATACATGCTGATGTAAGTCTAAAAGGGTTCGCTCATATATATATATATATATATATATATATATATATATATATATATATATTGTGTATATTTAGGCAGCAATTTTTCATTAATGCATGTTTCATTAAATAATATAGACAAGTTTTGTCTATTTATTTTAATTAAGTCGCTTTCATATTGCCTGATAAGCTTAATCCCATTATCGTTGAAAGACGAAAAGAAAACACCATATTAATACATGTTTAAATTCAATCTAAGCTTTCGGGTTGCATAAGCCATTACCAAAGATGACAATTTCTATAAATCAAACAACACACAGACGAAACAACAATGATAGTCAGCCCTTGCTGCTTGAAAAATTTCAAAGTAACGATAAACTCGTATATACGAGACGCGGAAGCGAAAATCGCCTCGCAGCTCATGACGGCATATGTGACCACGCGAGGGTGAAAAACGATAAGTATTAAGTATGGGAAGTCGTTGGTATAAACCAATGGCTTCTGTTATAAATTATATATATATATATATATATATATGGCGGTGTGTCTATCTTAAAACAGCTGACCCAGAACTATAGTATCGTATCTACTTCTAATTACTCCGAACGCATTTACTGATATAATGCTTCCAATTTTGAAAACACTCGACAAATTATACTTTTCGTATCATCATCAATTGCCTCTTTCTGATCTCTTTAATTTCGTCTACGAGCTGAAGGGGGGGGTCTTAATTCAACCGTTATTTCAACCCTGGGAAATGCCAGAAGCGGTCTGACAGCAAACTTGGATGATTCAAGGTTCTGTCAAGATTCCTTATACGAAAGTCAATCACCCTGAATACAATAACACAGAAGCTTTTTCTATGCCGTCTCCCTGTCGAATGAGTAATCTTATGGAAGAGTTTCTGATCACGCATGGGTCTTAAGACCCCCACCCACTCTGCTTAGTTACCAATGTATATCGTTATCTTTCTAAAATTATTCGTTGAAGAAAATAGAATCTGTAATATTTTCTTCTTTTTTTTTCTTTTTTTTTCATTTAGTAACACGCGTCAAAACGATTAACCTTAAAATCGATATTACAATGAAAGCTGACGGGGTTCAACCCCTTCCTTCCGAATTGTGTGCGGAAATAAAGAAGAAAATTGAAGCCCTCATGACCACTCATGAAGTCTGTCCGAATAATAATTGTTTCAGTTGTTCTGAGAAATCGGCCAACTCTGCTCGGAAGAAAAGGGCCGTGTCTAATACTGCACTCCAAGTCAACCTACAAAGTGTCAAGTAAGTTTTTAAAAAATATTTAATAACGACTCATATATTAGGGTTATTCCCATTCGACTTTTCTTCTTTTTTCCGGATCAGAGACTGTCTGTCCTGGGTATGATGATAAACTACATCAGCCAGCAATGCCTCTGATCGAGGGGGGAGGTTAAGAAGCGTACAACCATATCTCGATTAATATTGTTCCCAGGTCCACCCTAAGCCGGAGTGGTAGCACTTGTTAAGGTCACAGATATAGGCAACTCCCAAACTGGGGTCAAAACTCTCTGAAAGTATAAAAATAGATTATTATAGTAAAAATACCAGCAATACATTTTCGGAAAAAATATCTTCAATAGATTTGAGTCTCGACAAAAACCCTCTTGAGAAAAATATGCCAATGAAACCTAATCTACAAACTGATTTCTTGCAAAGAAATTATCCTAAAAATCCTGTCGGCATTAAATAACCTATACAGTTTGGTAAGCCGCCAAACAAAATAAACCATATCAAAAACTGTCATTAGATTTTGATTTTTTTTTTCAATATATTCAAACTATTTTTCCCATCTCCGCTTGAGGTGACCGTCTTGAATATGTCATTGTTTCCTTTAATTCTAATAATTTTAAAATTTTAATCATTATTAGAATTTTTAAAAAATGGATATATTTTGCAACTAGTTGAAAAGTAAAAATCTAACAAGCGGCCCATACATGTTGTTGGAAATATACTGTATTTCTGGTATATGATATATAATTATCTACTAGCCTGGTGTTCAGAAGATTCACAAACGTGTGAAAATCCCCACTGGATAAAATAAACAAACAAATGGTAGAAAGTTGAAAACAATTATCACTGGGTATCACCACGAAACATATTTGAGTAGTTTGTTGAAGTGAACAGTTGTACTTATCATGTTGAGATAAGGAGGAGACTGGCACTGGTCATCATAAAACAAGAAAAAAATGAAAATTAAGAAACAAGTTACGTTTATCAAATTATACACAGTACGCTCGAGTGCCTTTCTCTTCGATTATGAAATTTTGAACGAGAATGTTTTCTTCTTATTGAACACGCAGGGTTGAAATTCATATGAATTAACATTCCTTTTCTAACTCAATTCCTGTCTCTGCTTCACTGACAATTAGTCGGTAAAACTTCCGTACTAAAGGCAAAAAATGAAAACTATGCATTGTGCTGTTTGACACCATAATAGGAGAATATCTCCAGGGAAAAGACGTTTGATTTGATTTTCAACAAGAGGCAGACAGACCAACTTTACCATATTGGTCCCAACAAAAGCCGTGGTAACAAATGTAACGACGCAACTGACTCGTTCTACGACTGAACAACAACAACGATCACCTAACTCCATTTTCGAGACTCCAGTCGTAGAAAAAATTCGTGATAGAACCACGGACTTGCAGCTACATAGCCGACCGCACTATAATATATTGTGACAAAGTCGCCTTGAGTCAGTTAAGCAGAATTATCAAACAGAAATGTGCTTTAAAAAACATATAAGTTTATGCGTTTGCAATAGGTATTAAGTTGCATAGCTCTGATAAGACATGGTGTTGACTGACAAATAGTCACAGCGAGATTTTTCTGTAAAATATGACCGTCGACGAGATTATCCGAGAATTGCAAATTTATCTGCATAGCATGGGAACTTTGACCTTGTGTCATGGTTTGCAAGTTTGTCTCGCTAGAACAATTACTAGTAGTAGTAGTGAGTTCGATCCTCAATGGATGCTTCATACTTTTGGCTGTGAATTAAATCCATGTTCCGCTCAATAAATCCTTTTATCTGTTTATTTTTCAGTACCAATTCGATGAATAATACATCAACCAAAGATTTGTTACTTACACAAATAATGGAGAAAAATTTATTAGATTTACAAGTAAGTCATATATATGTGTCTGTGTATATATATTTATATGTGTGAGCGTGTATATATGTGTGTGTTTGTGTGTATATATATGTGTATATATATATGTGTGTGTGTGTATGTGTATGTGTTTGTGTGCATATATATATTTATATGTGTGTGTCTTTGTGTTTATATATGTTGGCGTGTATATATATGTCTATATATATATATGTGTGTGTGTGTGTATGTGTGCGTTTGTGTGTATATATACATATATATGTGTGTTTGTGTATATATATGTGTGTGCGTGTGTATGTGTCTGTGTGTTTATATATATATATATATATATATATATATGTGTGTGTGTTTGTTTGTCAGATTTTGTGTATATATGTGTTTTTGTGTGTTTGTGTGTATATATATATATGTGTGTGTGTATATATATATACATGTGTGTGCTTTTGTATATATATATATATATATATATATATATATATATATGCGTGCATGTGTGTGTTTGTGTGTATATATGTGTTTGTGTGTATATGTGTGTGTATGTGTTTGTGTGTATATATATGTGTGTCATACATTATGAATTAAAAAGAACGTATAAACGTAAAAAGATATGTGTGTGTTTGTGTATATACATATGTGTGGGGGGTATTTGTGTGTCTATATATATGTTTGTGTATATATATGTGTGTATGTTTGTGAGTTTATACATATATATATATATATATATATATATATATATATGTATGTGTTTATATACATGTGTGTGTGCGCTTGTGTGTATATATGTGTATGTGGTTGTATATATATATATATATATATATATATATATATATATATGAGAGTGTGTCCGTTTGTGTGTGTGTATATATATATATATGTGTGTGTGTGTGTGTGTGTTTATGTGTGCGTGTGTGGTTGATTGATGTGTTTTTTATGGCTTATAAAAATTTTGCTCTTTATTTAAAGCAAGGAAATATATTTAAATTGTGATAATTTTCGTGGGATAATAATGATTTACTGACTAAAGTTCTACTAATGGATCATTAGCTGAAGATGGAAAGAAAGAATGTATTCCTATGTTTCCCAAGGTTATTTGCATATAAGTAAAAATAATGATCACAATTGAAATTGGAACTCGGCATCCTTATTTTCAATTCCGACTCGTTATCCATTACATCATCCGCACATTCAAGATTACAGCACCTGGTATTAATCAAAAGGTCAACCATCTAGATACCGATCATATTGACATTGCTTAACTTCTGTGATGCTTCAACATGGCTTGGCCGTAAGACACGTGTGTGTGCGCGCGCGAGTGTGTGTGTGTGCGCGCGCACCCTATGAAACAGTTCTAAAATAAACTGGTTACTTCATAATGAGATTTTTTCTTTATAATATTAATTTCTATACTGTTCAGGTGAATTGCCGTATATTGACGGGTTACAGGCTTTTCTAGATACAAAAGAGCACTTTTAGTTTTACTCGTGTGTGTAAAGACAACACTTATTAGGAGCTACAAAGAACAGGAAATTGTGGAGAGCTATGATCACCTAAAATTACAGACATCTATTTGACACGTTTCGACGATGATGAATCGACCTCATCAGAAAAAGAAAAGTATTTTAATAAAATCATCATTAATGAGACAACGACTGATTTTTAATTTTAACTCATCTCTCGTTTTTGCAAATTAGATTTTGTTTAATTCCAAACCACTTTATTTATTTGCATATTCCTTTACTTTACGGATTGTATAAACAACATTGATTAAGTGCTAATTTAGAACTGGTCATAAAATGAAATAACCCAATACTCTTTTAACAGTATGGAACTCTATAAATTATCACCCGTCCTTATTAAATTAATACTGTCAAAATATGGGACAGAAAAACTTGAAATAAAGGAATACATAAATTTAAAAATAAACTAATTTGAAATGAAATAAAATCGAATTTCTATAATGATAGTTTGTAATCTAATTTCTATAATGATAGTTTGTAATCTAATTTCTATAATGATAGTTTGTAATCTAATTCGCCCCATGCAATGCAGTAAAATCACTAAGACATAAGGGGTTACTGGGTGCAAAATAATTAGAAAACAGAAATATTATGAAGGTGCGTGAACAATAGAAGACTAAATAGAAAGACGGTAAATAACGATTGACATAACATTTAAATTTTTGAAGATCAAATTTGGCAAGAAAGCATGTAATTGGAAGCGAAAAGTGAGAGAAAAGAAACAGCAAAGAAATTCCGGTTCCATAGAGCCAATTCAACTATAAATTGATGAGACCTTACAGCCTATGAAAGTGTTTTATAGAAAAGGCCAAAAGAAGCAACTCTACAAGAGTGGAAAAGAGATTGATGCCGAGACGCCAGATCTGGACCAATAATATTGCAGATTCTTCTGTTGATTTTATGAAGAATCTCTAAATATATAGCAGAAGGCCCGTACCATATGTGGTAGCAATATTCAATGCATGCACGAACGGTAGACTTATAGATATGTTAGGTAGATTCTGAAGCTAAAAATTATCCAGCACGACACAGTGAACCAACTTTCTTAGCGGATGACCTAGCAATGGATTTAATGCAGTCTTTCCACTTCATGTCAACTGAAAACGTTAAACCGAGAAGGTGCAATGAGTCACTCTTCTGGAGATCACCATAAGTCATGCTGATGTGGTTAGAAATACGTCTCTCAAATCATTAATAGAGTTTTGTTTTCAATGTGTTAAAACTAACAAGCCATTCTCTGCTCCGGTTAACAACAGTCTGTAGTTCATTTTTGATATCACCTGCCGTTTTGACTTTATCGAACTGATCAGATTTACTATTGAGACTGGAGTAAATGGTCGTATCATCAGCATAGACACTAAATTAAGAACTTATTGAAATGATCATTGATGAAAATTAAGAACACAGTAGGTCTAAGTATAAAGCTGTGGGGGACACCTGCATTAATACAAAAGATTTTTCAATTCGCGATTTGATAAGAAATACTGAATCTATTCAAAAATTGGTCCGGCAACACCATAACCTGTGGATAAGACCGGTATACCAGACCCTGTCGAACGCTTTTGAGATGTTCAAAGCAACAGCCTGAGTTATCAGGTCATCCCATAAGTTCTGTCCGAATTTTGAATAAAGAAAACAAATGACCAAATGTTACATTTAATTACAGATTCAATCAACAATGTATTTTCCTTGATTATCTATGACTTCCTTCCATCTATTAACAAGCTTACTAATTCCATTACTGTAAAATTCTTTTGGCTTTGATTCAAAGAACTCACAAATGTCAGTTTTAACCTCTTCCCGTGTTACAAAAGCTGTTTCTTCCAAATGATTCTGTAAGCTACGAAACAAATGGTAGTCTGAATGAACACGATCGGGAAAATACGGTGGATGAGGAATTTTCTCCCAACCTAAGTTCTTCGATCTTTTGTGACGTGATTCTTGCTGTGTCGGGTCGCGCATTGTCCTGATGAAACATCACCTCTTTTCGATTCACTAGAGCAGGTCTTTTTTTCCTCAAAGCTTGGTTCAAACGCTCTAATTGCTCACAGTAGATTTGAGAATTAATTGTTGCATTAGGGTTTTAATCAAACAAAATTTAATTTTATTGTTCTCTGAAATCAAATTTGATCAGTTTAAATGCATCTAAACATAAAAATAATGTTCAGCTCCATTAGACATTATAAAATACTCTTTAAATTTCGTTCATTTTAACAAAAGGTTAAAATTCGGACAGAACCTGTGGTATGACCTGATACATACGATCTATCCCTGATATTGGGAAATTTAATCCATAAATATAGCATACATTAAAACTATATTTTATATATATATATATATATATATATATATATATATATATATATATATATATATATATATATATATATATATATATATATATATATATATATATATATATACACATTGTATGTTACTATCTAACTAATATTGAGCACTGTATTAAAAAGAACTCACAGCCAGCGTTTGGTGGAATTGAATTGGATTAGAATCCAGCAGAATGATAGGATAAGGAACAAGTATTCGACGTAATAACATAATAATAATAACATAATAAAAGAACATACTTTATTGCGTAGGAAATAATTAGAATCAATCCTGATAAATATTTTCCCATGAATAAACATACGCTGAACACACTTTATTATAGATAATAAAGATCGGTTCGCCCAGGTAAGAACACACGAACAGGTACCGACGAACAACAAACACAAGACGAACATTTGTAAATAAATTTTATATAACAAAATAAAAAATATGGGAAAAGTATGGAGTTGACAAACGTACAATTAATGAAAGAATACTCAACTGATATTGGATGTCAGTTCAAGCGTTTGTGTTTCAGAAATTTGGGGTTCAAAGGTTCGTAATGACAGATAAAGTTGCTGTAGAATGATCACAAAAGTTGGTTGTTCTTTCTTCCTCAATGTCACTATGGAATTCCGGAATAATGCTTGTGTTCTGTTTCCCATTGGTTAATTGGATTGCATCCGAGATTAAAGTAAAATGTTTCTTTGTATCTATTTGGGTAAAATATTTCTTTTTTCTTTACCCCTTAAGTAGACAAATATACTCAAGTTCTTCACAACGAAATTTCCTTATTCCTTACACAACAAGTAATGGAAGAGGTTTTGGGGTGTATTTCTCATCCGTTACGAATGCACGATGAGAATCTATTTTTTCACGAACTGGTGTCGTCGTTTAAATATATGCCACCAAATTAACATGATATGGAGGGCAGAATATCCTAATGAATAGATTTCAATGTCGGTTTGGAAGTGAAAATGAAACGTGCATAGTCGGTAAAATAGCAAAGCTGTACACTTCAAGAGATTTGTCTTGTTAGCTTGAATGATTTCTTTTTAAGGCTCATCAACCTTTTGCAGGTTATTTAAAACTCGGAAATATTTTTTAGCTTGTAAGAATATTTATGGAGATAATTTACTAGCACAAGATCTACTAATTAACCCATATCTGGGGGGCGAATAAGTAGATTCATACCTTTCCCAAGGATGTTTACGTACGTAATATAACAAATTTGACTGGAATTGAATTCAGCTCTCAGATTTCCAAACCGTTATCCATTACCCATCCAAGCTTACAACACCAATTCCCAAGCGATCGCCCTTTAAGATAACGACGAGGCACGACATTGTTTAAGATTTGTCTTAAAAATCCTCTGCAAACCTGATGAAATAGTAATGTAAAACCGTTATCCATTACCCATCCAAGCTTACAACACCAATTCCCAAGCGATCGCCCTTTAAGATAACGACGAGGCACGACATTGTTTAAGATTTGTCTTAAAAATCCTCTGCAAACCTGATGAAATAGTAATGTAAAACCGTTATCCATTACCCATCAAGCTTACAACACCAATTCCCAAGCGATCGCCCTTTAAGATAACGACGAGGCACGACATTGTTTAAGATTTGTCTTAAAAATCCTCTGCAAACCTGATGAAATAGTAATGTAAAACCGTTATCCATTACCCATCCAAGCTTACAACACCAATTCCCAAGCGATCGCCCTTTAAGATAACGACGAGGCACGACATTGTTTAAGATTTGTCTTAAAATCCTCTGCAAACCTGATGAAATAGTAATGTAAAACCGTTATCCATTACCCATCCAACTTACAACACCAATTCCCAAGCGATCGCCCTTTAAGATAACGACGAGGCACGACATTGTTTAAGATTTGTCTTAAAATCCTCTGCAAACCTGATGAAATAGTAATGTAAAACCGTTATCCATTACCCATCCAAGCTTACAACACCAATTCCCAAGCGATCGCCCTTTAAGATAACGACGAGGCACGACATTGTTTTAAGATTTGTCTTAAAATCCTCTGCAAACCTGATGAAATAGTAATGTAAAACCGTTATCCATTACCCATCAAGCTTACAAACACCAATTCCCAAGCGATCGCCCTTTAAGATAACGACGAGGCACGACATTGTTTAAGATTTGTCTTAAAAATCCTCTGCAAACCTGATGAAATAGTAATGTAAAACCGTTATCCATTACCCATCCAAGCTTACAACACCAATTCCCAAGCGATCGCCCTTTAAGATAACGACGAGGCACGACATTGTTTAAGATTTGTCTTAAAAATCCTCTGCAAACCTGATGAAATAGTAATGTAAAACCGTTATCCATTACCCATCCAACACAACACCAATTCCCAAGCGATCGCCCTTTAAGATAACGACGAAGACATTGTTTAAGATTTGTCTTAAAATCCTCTGCAAACCTGATGAAATAGTAATGTAAAACCGTTATCCATTACCCATCAAGCTTACAACACCAATTCCCAAGCGATCGCCCTTTAAGATAACGACGAGGCACGACATTGTTTAAGATTTGTCTTAAAAATCCTCTGCAAACCTGATGAAATAGTTATGTAAAACCGTTATCCATTACCCATCCAAGCTTACAACACCAATTCCCAAGCGATCGCCCTTTAAGATAACGACGAGGCACGACATTGTTTAAGATTTGTCTTAAAAATCCTCTGCAAACCTGATGAAATTAATAAAACCGTTATCCATTACCCATCCAAGCTTACAACACCAATTCCCAAGCGATCGCCCTTTAAGATAACGACGAGGCACGACATTGTTTAAGATTTGTCTTAAAATCCTCTGCAAACCTGATGAAATAGTAATGTAAAACCGTTATCCATTACCCATCCAAGCTACAACACCAATTCCCAAGCGATCGCCCTTTAAGATAACGACGAGGCACGACATTGTTTAAGATTTGTCTTAAAAATCCTCTGCAAACCTGATGAAATAGTAATGTAATATAAAACTCTCTTTAATCTGGATAATTATATATTTATTGTTCTGGACTATTCTATCGATTATTCGGAGCTTATACCAGAGCTCATTCTAAACAAAAGGTGAACAGAACTGAAAATATGTAGGGATTATATGTAAAGCTTTGCATTAAAGTCAAACAAAGCGTGAATTTAGACTTAGATAAAAAGTTCTCACATGAAACACCTACAAAAAACAAATGTTTTAATCCAAAAATATGTCAAAGTTTTGCCTTAAATTAAAATATTCATTTATTTTATTCATTTTGTGCCTCTCTGGTCATCACTCCACTCCATTTCAAAATTGTGATTCATGGTGACACTGAAAGCACAATAGTGCAGTAGCTTGCCGGTTCCTTTTGCAGCTGGGATGTTGAAGTTGCTCCATCCCTCCTCTCAGAGATGGATGTGTTATTCTGCTCGCCTTTGTCTAAAGAGGCAGGATCTACAAGTTAGCAGGTGGCTTGAAGTCAGATTACCTTCTCTAATACCGGTTGCCAGCCAATGCTATAAGACCCAGTTTGTCCTGTTATTTTACCTATAGCTGGGGAAATATAATAACTTTCTTTAGAATTATTATAGCTTCATAAATTGAGGAAGGTCTAATGAATACGATCCTACTCAAATTATTACCCCCGAAAAAATGTTTTCCTTATTTTTTCCGTGTGGACCATTTCATTGAATCAGTGTCCATTTTTGCTTTTTGGGGGGTTTTTAGTGTTTGTTTTTTTTTTTGTTGTTTTTTTTTTCTTTTTTGAGAATCACAAAATTCTTTCACGTATAAGTTGAAGTATTAAATCATCAAATCAATCATTGACTGAATTCTTCAAAATGATTTGACTCTTTCTACGATTAATTCTTTTTTATTTTTTTTCAGTCTTTGAATGCTTCCGTTTTGCCTTCAAGTGTCGCAATCACCTTATCGTGTAACTCTGGTCAGCAGCTGAACGGACAGACATGTGGTAAATTTTCTTTGATATAATATTTTTACTAGAAATTAACTTGTCTCAACTTAGAAACAATGACACGATAGTAAAATTCCCAGTGCGAACTGATGTCGCTAACAATAACTTGCAAGTATAACTTGTTAACCATCGCTCAAAGTGCCTCGGCGTTCGGCGATGGTTAGCGAGGCTAGGTTTTTTTTTACCATTAATACTGAGTAGTGAGTCCGGTCCTTACTGGGCGTCCCATACCAAATTCGACATGAAGTTATTGAATAAGTATTGACATGTCTTAAGATCAACAATCATTACTAGGCGTAAGGTAATGTTGAACGGGACTGACTTGTTCGATCCTCACAGGGCGACCCGTTAAAAATCCATATTAAATAACGCCACAAAGGTTGACTAACATACTTATCACTCCGCCCTATTCTCATCAAAATTTTACACTCCCTACTACATATATATATATATATATATATATATATATATATATATATATATATATATATATATATATATATATATATATATATATATTTGTGTGTATTTAGGCAGCATCTTTTCATACATACACGTTTCATTAAATAATATAGACAAGTGTTGTCTATTTATTTTATGTAAAATTTTTCATAACGTCTAATAAGTTTAATAACATTATCATTGAACCAAGAAAGAAATTCATAATATTGATCCATATTTTTAATAATGCAATCTAAGCTCTCGGATTACATAAGCCATTATCAAAGATGTCAATTGCAATATATTAAGCAATGTACAGACAAGACAGTGATGACATTCTCGTGTGGTCATGTGTGACGTCATGAGATACGGTGCGATTTTCGCTTCTAGCGTCTTATATGCACGTGTTTATCGTTGCTTAGAGATCATCTATGTAAACATTAACAGACTGATTTCAACAAAACTTCACCTTTTTTTTGGCAGGTAGTGTTTCTTACTTTCTTTCACATTTTTTTCTTTATTTTTACATTCAGAATGCTTTAAAAATTCCATTTACATAACAATTGTTTATAATAAAATTTTATTCAATCGGTAGACTCATAACAATTGAAAACAATGTTTTTGTTTGAGTTTGGGTTTGACCAATTCGTAAAAAAAAAAAAAAAAAAAAAAAAAAATAATTAAGACACGCGTGTCAGTCAGCCTTAAACAATAATCTTTGTCAATTTTATTTTTCAGTCTTTATGATTTACTTGATCTATCTCTTACTGTTACATCCCCGGGCAACGCCGGGCTCTACTGCTAGTATGACAATAAAGATGAGGACAATAGTCCAAACTATGTAAATAGAGTGAATGTATTTTTCTTTCTTTTTTCTTTTTTTTTTTTTTTCAGTTCTAATTCAGGCCGTCCCTGGAACTTTCTTAAACACTACAACCAATAAAATTGAAATCTGTCCGAAAGGAACGTACCAGCCAAATTCCAGACAGACAAGCTGTATCGATTGTCCGCCAGGAAAGACGACAATTGACATAATATCAGTCTCGAGTGATGAATGCAAAGGTTTTTTCTTTGAAATTTTCATTAGTTTTTTTTTTTTTTAGACAATCTATTTCTGATTATTGTAATAATTAAGTGTATTTCTTTTCAAGAAATTAACTTGGATTTTTCTACTTGACTTTTGCAAGCGATTAAACATAGATCTTTTTTCTGCTTATTAGTGATTTGTAGACCTGGCAGTTACTTTAGTTTGAAAACTGATTCGTGCATCCCATGTGACATTGGATTCTACCAAAACAAAAACGGTTCTTTCTTCTGTGATGGTTGCATAGGTGGGAAGGTTACATTGAAGCAAGGAAGCACATATCCTGATGAATGCGTTGTCCGAGGTAAAATATCACTTTTTTATAAAATGTTTTTTGATATCGTCAAATGCTTCTGATAATATCACAAATTGCTATATTTTATTTGCAGATAAACTCTTTCAAAGCATTTTAAATATTCATTTGATGGGAGACATTGAACTTTTAAATTTTTTTCTCTTTCTTTTTCTTTCTTTCTTCCATTATCTATTTTTTACTTTCCTTCTATTTTCTTCTTATTTTTTCCTTTCCTTCTCATATTCCATCCTTCTTTTCCCCATTTTTTTCTTAGCTTTCTTTTTTTTTCATTTCTTTTTCTTAGTTTCCTTGTATTTTTGCTTTTTCTTCCTTCTTTGTTTTCATTTTCTCTTCTGTTTCTTTCCTTGAATTTATCTTTCTATCGATTTTTCCTCATTTTCTACCTATTCCCTTTTCTTTCTTATTTTCGTTGTTTTCATTTTCGTACTTCCTTTCTATTTTTGTTTTTTTCTTCTTTTTCTTCATTTTCCTTTTTTTTCTCTTTACTTCATTCACTTTATCTTTTCTTTTATTCATTATTTTATTCTCCGCTTTTTTCATTAGTTTCATCCTTTCTCTATTTCACTTTCTTTTTCTTCTCTTTCTTTCACTTTACTTTGTATTTTCTTTCGTTTTTTAGCATTCTCGTTTTCTCGGGTTTATAGTCATCTCTTTCGTTCCTTTTCATGTCTTTGTCTTTTTTTATTCTCCACTTCTTTTTTCTTCTTTCCTTTGTACTTTTACTTTCTCTCTTTCACTTTCTTTTTCTTCTCTTTCTTTCATTTACTTTGTATTTTCTTTCGTTTTTTAGCATTCTCGTTTTCTCGGGTTTATAGTCATCTCTTTCGTTCCTTTTCATGTCTTTTTCATTTTTTTATTTTCTCCACATTCTTTTTTTCTTCTTTCCCTTTTTGTACTTTTTTTACTTTTTTTTCTCTCTTTCTTTCTCTTTCTTTTTTTTTCTCTTTCTTTCATTTACTTTGTATTTTTTTCTTTTCGTTTTTAGCATTCTCGTTTTCTCAGGTTTATAGTCATCTCTTTCGTTCCTTTTCATGTCTTTGTCTTTTTTTATTCTCCACTTCTTTTTTCTTCTTTCCTTTGTACTTTTACTTTCTCTCTTTTACTTTCTTTTTCTTCTCTTTCTTTCATTTATCTTTAATCTTTCTCATTTATCTCTTCTCTATTTTTGAAATTGAAATTTTATTCTTTCCATTTTTCTTTCCTATTTCGTCTTTATTATTTTTCTCTTTCTTTCATTTTCCCTTCCTTCTTCATCTCAACTTCTATATTTTCCTTTCTCTTTTTACTTTTATCTTTAGTTTTTTTCTCATTTTTCTATTTCTTTTCCGTCTTTATTCTTTTTTCTCTTTCTTTTTCTCTTTCTTTCATTTTAATTTTCATTTTCCTTTCCTTCTTTATCTCTACCCCCACAAGAACTCTTTCCTCGTGCTTGTAACTGCACCATTTTCATTGTACATTGGAATACTTCATTACTAACATCAAATCTTCGAGAGTGTAGACGTAACTTGAAACGCAGCCTTGCCCCAAAAGACATAGCTTTTCCCGGCAAGACACTGGTTGAAAATAGAAGAAGAATTTACTCTTCGATGTACTGTCCAAGACAAAAGAAATGCCACGGAGATGCTCAAGAACTACTTAAAAAGATATTCATCTTCCTACAACATTGGCAATTGCCTATTCAAACCACAAGATAATGGTAATAACATATAGTGCCAATATTCTCTGTGTTTTAGAAAAACTGCGGAACCAATATTAATGAAGAAAAAACAAAGCAATAACACCTGAGTTTCACTTGAAAAAATGTTTAGCAATAATAATAATAATAATAATAATAATAATATGTGTAAATTGCGTGAGAACTTTTTTTTTATAAAAATGATCAAGGAAATAATTATAAAAAAAAGAAACAAAAGCAAATGCAATGGACCAGATGCAGAAATAATACCAAGATAAGCCCCCTCCATAGTCAATATTATCCCTGTAGCAAACAAGCTGATGTAGACAAACCCCGTACCCATCAGTGGCTACTTAGTGCAGGGTTAAAAGCTGAAACCAAAGGCTTTATTCTTGCGGCACAGTAACATTACTAGAAATTACTAAAAAGATATAATGAAAAATTGTGTTGGCCCAAAATGGAGATTCTGTGATAAATATCCAGAAATAATTCACCATCTTTCATCAGGTTGCACGGTATTGGCACTTATTGAATATAAGACCCGGTATGACATACTGGTCCAATATCTGCATTGGAAAATCTGCAACTTTTACAGAAAGGAAACTACAAGAAATTGGTATGAACACCACCCAGACCCAGTTACGGAGATAAGACCTGTAACAATTTTATGGGACTTTACAATAGACACAGACAGAACAATGAAAGCTAATCGCCCAGACATCGTGATCAGAAAAACAGAATGTGTTTTCTTATTGACATAGCAATCCCCGCAGACTGTAATGTATTTTTGAAGATCTTCAAAAAACTATCAAAATACAACGACCTTGAAATCGAAATCTCAAAAATGTGGCACATGAAGACGTCAATAATTCAAGTTGTAGTTGATTGGTAAAATATTCCGATAGACACATTGAAGGGATTCCTGGTAGCCCATGCCTTAAAGAAATACAAAAAGTTTACTCACAGAAACAGTTCACACCTTACGAAGGGCTTTATCTATGTAAAATATGTGATCTTAGTTTGTTTTTTGTTTTGTTTTGTTTTGTTTTTATGGGTTTTTTTTTTTTTTTTCAAAAAATGCTCAGCGGAAAATGTCATAAAGCCATTTCTGACCCTTATTGGGACCCGGAAAGGAAATGAGTATACAAAAAAAAAAATCAATCGGAAATAATAATAATAATAATAATAATAATAATAATAATAATAATAATAATAATTCCTCCTTTTACTGAAGTATTCATTTGAATACTAATGGTGTTCTTCAGTATAAAAGACCTGATACATTTCATCTGCAGTGAGAGAGTATAGTCGAGTATAATGCGGGTTCAGTTTTTCGCACTATACACAGGTAATTTTTTTTTGTTGTTTTTTTTTTTTTGAAGAGGTTGTAAATTATGCACTTTCGGCGAGCGGCTGCACTACACACAGGTAATTTTTCTGACGAGTTAAAATTTGTGCAAAAATATTCAAGGGTCGTACTATATGTGACGTCGACTTATACACGAGTATTTACGGCAGATACGGAGTATCTGGGTGAACGGCTGCCAGTGTCATTTTTCTTTTCATTTTTTAAAAATCTTAGACTTTAATCTGCATGCAGTTTTTTTTAAGTAAAATTCATTCAGTCAGTAACTTTTTGACAAAAATCTAAAGTAGGCAATATGAGGCAATTTTTTTTTTATTTTCTCATTCATATTCTAAAAATTAAAAAAAAATACTTGTGTATCTATTCAGAGACAACCACTGTTTTTATTACACTGCGAACTTTGTCGCCAAATGCTACAGGTAGGCCATTTTCAAAGAAGTATTCATGTTTGGTGTGGCTTTCTTAGTAATGTTTCATTTATGCACAAATAACAACGGAAAATATCAGAGTGTTGGTGATATAGATTGGAACAATGTCTTGAAGGTGACAATTTTCTTTCAGCGACTAACAATATTAACAACAAAGCATGTATTAAATTATTAACAACAAAGCATGTATTAAATTATTAACAAAAACAAAAACGATCGTCTACTGAAATCTTAATACATACTATCCATTTTCTCAATTTCTCTTTTAACCAGAAAGGTTAGAAAATCCCTTCAACCCTTCAAATTCTTGATGAATAATATAGACGCCGGTATAAAGTCGGCTAATGTCTACCTTTTTGCACTAGTTTAAACTGAACCTATTTCTACGTATTGGGCAATAGTGTAAGCCGGACTTATGTCTATCTTTTTTTTATTGTAGTTTAAAACTAGGCCTATGTTTTCCGTTTTGATTCGAGCGTAAAACAGAGTTTTAAATCACCTTTTTTGACTCTCTTGTGTAAACTGAACTTATATATACCTATTTGGGAATAGTGTAAGCCTGACCGATGTTTAACTTTTTCAGTCTAGTGTAAAAACAGACTTTTCCTACATTTTTTACACTCTAGTGTAAACGATATTATGCCTGCCTTTTTGACTCGAATGCAAAACCGGACATATGTCAAACATTATTATTTTAGTGTAAAATCAGGTGTAATTCTGATAATCTATCGTTTTGATTCGAGATTAACCTGAGATTTATCTACCGTCTTTGACTCTCGAGTGTAAACTGAACTTTCTCTACCTTTTTAACTTGAGTGTAATTGGGACCCTTTCTTACACTCTAGTGTAATCTGGGCCTATGTTTGTTTTACACTCTAGAGTAAACCAGAAACGTGTCTACTGATCTGGCAATTTATTTTGATTGCTGTTAGTTAAAATTCGTATCCGATATTAGACAACCCAACAGGGAGTGATATGCTGTTGAACTCATCAATCTTTTCTAAAAAGATTTGGGGCGTTTAGAACTCAGGTTCTTGTCTCTCTTGAGTCTTAAAGCATTGTATTCGACAACTGATGGTCGGTAATTCGGTGGCTTTATTTCACGGGACGAGTCACCACCTTTAAAATGATTAAAAGCATTAAAATTCATTAGGTTTAGATATTGTGTAATTTTCTTTTAGAATTACCGAATTTTATTTTCATCAGCTTTGAGACGCAGGATTCAAGCTATACCCTTAAGTTGGTAAAATATCGGGACTTGTCTCTGCAATTTACAATATTTGAAGCAAAATGTAGATTCGACTAATTCTGTACTTCGGGCTGGGATGCTAAAGTAAAATCAGATCCCCACCCTATTAAGCTGTGAGGGGTACTTCGTCCCAGCAATTCCAATCCTGCTGAAGCACATCCCTCATTGCACTAAAGAAGGGAGGTTCGTGGTAACCAATGCTAACGTGATAGTGATCACAAGGACTAGTCAATCAGTTTCTGTTTTTGGCCTATATGTAAGTGCATATCCCGCCTTCGTGGAGAGATCGGTAAATATCAACTGATTATGATACATAGTCGTTACATCTGTGCATGAAATAAACTTTTGAGTAAAGCTCTTTGAAAAACTGTATTGCTTTGATGCACTCTAATATCATTTATATTTTCGGTGTAATTTATTTCTATTTTTGTGAGTTTTTCTTTAAATATTTTAGTGGGTTTATTTGTTGTTTATTTGTTTTTTGCCTGTGATCACAAGAAAATGCAATATAAATCCGTATATAATTCGATTTCTAAAAACAAAAATAAAGAGCAAATATTTGTCAACGCTTATGATTGGGAGTGGATTACAGTGGAAAGGATTGAGAGCAACTGTTCGTTTCAAGCCCGGAAATGTTCGCCACTTAATAATAGTAAACTTGAAAAACATAAAATATATATAAATTAAAAAATAGAATGGCTACACATTGCTTTCAAAGCAGAAAGTTCACTAATGTAGTGAACAGGATTATTCTGTCGTAAGTTCGAGTATAACGTACAAAACTAGAGTCGCAAATTTAAATTTTGTCACTCATTCTTTTCTATCAATCAGAAACTAAATATTTATTTCTAATCACCTAGAAAAGGTGGCTTTCTAAGTGTATCTTAGATTGTGAACAAGGCCAAACGTATGGGACACCTAGTGAGGATCGAACTCACTATTCAGTCGTGACTGATCTAGTGGAACAAGTTTGCTAACCATTACACTTCGTCGACGTGCACTTAGTGATTTTCTAAGCGCAGCTTAAATGTGGCACAAGGACGAAAGTATGGAGCACCTAGTGAGGATCAAATCCACAATACAGTCCTAATTGTTCTAGTGAGACAAGCTTGCTAACCATTACACTATGCAGAGATGTCCTGATTTTCAAAGCGAAGTTTTCGTAGTTTCAAGGCCGAAAGTTTGAGACACGCAGGGAGGATCGAACTCACTATTCAGTCGTAATAGATTTTGTGAGATAAGCTTGCTAGCCATTACACCACGTCAATGTGCCATTAGGAAGATATCTTTTCAACTGGATAGGCTATACCAATTTCTGCAAAGAATCCTGAGTTATGACATTGTCCTAACAGAAAACATCTTTTCAATTAGACAATCTCGATTTCTGCCTTTAATCAGTCCAACTGGAGGCAGTAATTGTCGAAAGCTTCAAATATCTTGACGCCAATTTTGCAGCCACTGGTCAAGCGAAGGACGAAATCACCACCCGTATAAATTTGGCTAGAGCTGCCTTTTTCCGTCTTCAAAAACGACTTTGGTCTCGCCAGAAGATAAGACGATCCACGAAGTTGCGAATTTACGAAGCCATGGTCAGAACAATTCTTCTCTATGGTTGTGAGACCTGGCCACTGCGCAGAGAGGATCTTCATAAGCTTAAGGTCTTCGATCACTACTGCCTCCGCCGTATCCTGCGCGTGCGCCTCTCCGACCGGATCCCCAACGCGTCCATCTGCGCCAGATGCAACATTCTTTGCCTGG